CCCACACACACCCATTTGCTCCACCTGCATAGGCACATGTGTCTCTTGTCTGACGGGTTGGCGGCTGTTCCAGGGAGGCGACAACTTTGTGGTGGGCTCCCCCTTTACCCGCCACATGAAGCCGGCCATGTCCACTGACAGCTGGATCCCACAGACCCTCCGCAGACCATCAGCCGGCCTGCCTGTTACTGACGAGGATTGGCAGAGATTCCTCAACGATCGGACGGCACCGACTGTCTGGGCCATGAATGAGCGATCGCCGATTAAGAACACAGCCATGAGTCGACTCGAGGTCGTCAAGCAGCTGTTTGAGGTAGGGCAACGCACACAAATCGACAGAGGCATCTCTCTTTCTCTCTCTCTGCGTGTGTGTGGATTGCATTAGACTCTGACCAACCGTATCGAGGCCTACGAGACGCCGACGTGTCTCGGGCTGGTGCTATTCAGCGGCAGAGACGACATCAAATACACATGCAAAGTGAGCACAGCACACATCTCCCCACCTCCGCCCCTCCCCGAGGACCCATGTCTGCGTGTTTCTATCTACCACCAGCTGTCCCCCTACATGGAGCCTTTCCGTGATGCCCTCGACCGTGCGCGTCAGTCTGGCGAGACGGCAGTGTACGACGCAGTGGGTCGTGGGCATGAGGAGCTGGTCAAGTGGAAGGAGGAGAAGCCCTCACTCAAGGACGCACAGCTGCGGATCATCGTCCTGTCAGCTGGGGAGGACAGCGAGTCGCACACCGACTGGTGGGTACCAGATGCTCTACGTGCCTGATGCAGCGAGAGGGTTGCCATTCCGGTGCGGGCGGTGTTGTGTGGTGTGGTGGTCACGGTGCTCGATGTCTTTCGCGAGAAGCACCCACCGCAGCAGCAGCCGCACGAGAAAGCCTTCCTTCCCTGTGACGACCTCCCTCCCCTCATTGACGTGAACATCACGGACTCGACCGTGGAGCGAGCGGCACGGAGTCTCAGTGGGAGCGCTGGACTGACCGGTGGCGATGCGAACTTCTGGCAGACCTTCCTCCTCCGATACGGTGCCAAGAGCGGTCGCCTCTGCGCGGCTGTGGCCTCGCTCGTCTCTATCCTGGCCAACACCATCGTCCCATGGGACAACATCAAGGCCCTGCGAGCGTGCCGCCTCATCGCTCTCGACAAATGCCCTGGTGTCCGCCCTATCGGCGTCGGGGAGGTGCTCTCTCGCCTGACTGGCAAGTGCATGACCATGGTGACCCGCTCTGACCTGGAGACGACCTGCGGCACTGATCAGCTGTGCATCGGTGTGAAGGGGGGCCTCGAGGGGGCTGTGCACGCGGTGAATGACCTCTTCTAAGAGGACGAGACCAAGAGGCTCCTGCTGGTGGACGCGAGCAACGCCTTCAATCGCATCAGTCGGCCTGCTGCCATCTGGAACACCCATGTGCTGTGGCCCCGCTGCTCTCGCTATGCGTTCAACACCTACCGAGGATTCGCCGCACTCCACCTGCAAGGCTCAGCCGGCTGTCTGTGGAGCTGTGAAGGCGTCACACAGGGCGATTCGATGGCGATATTCGTCTACGCCTGCGGCAGCCTTCCCCTCATCCATGCCCTGCGGGCTGTCTGCGCTGAGGAGGGATATGAGATGCTGTCGAGTGGGGCATGGGATGAGTCAGGCAGCGATGGGCAGAAGCAGAGGGGGATGGTGCGGGTATATGTGTGTGTTCTGATGTAGAAGGTGTTGGAGTTGGTGAGGAGGAAAGTTTGTCGGCCTCATCGGCCCCGTTGGCCTCTTCATCTAGCGCTTCGCTGCGGCAGTGCTGGTATGCGGATGACTCGTCGGCGCTCGGCAAACTTCACGGCATCCTCGTGTGGTTTCGAGCCCTGCGTCGTATCGGCCTTTCATACGGCTATCACCCGAAGGCCGCCAAGTCCTTCCTCGTCGTCAAACCCGAGCTCGAGCAGATTGCAAGGGAAGTCTTCGAGCCCGAGGGGGTGCAGATCGTCACGAACAAGAGGTTTCTGGGCGGCTACGTGGGCGATAAGGGGGGGAGGGCGGCGTTCCTCTGCGAGAAGGTCGAGGGGTGGGTGCGCGGCGTGCGCGCGCTCACGTCTGCTGCCCGCAACTTCCCACACACGGCCCACGCGGCAATGACGAGGTCTCTGCAGATGGAGTGGGACTATGTCTTTTATGTCGTGCTCACCAACGAGTGCGCTCTCAGCCCCCTCCGCGAGGCCATCGCCAAGGAGCTGCTGCCGGCCCTCCTCGGCGGCCCTGTGACGCCGTCCGAGGTCGACCTGATGCTGCTGCCTGCTCGGCATGGCGGCACCGGCATACGTGACCCTCTCGACCGTGCCACAGCCGCCTACCCCGCTTCCCGCGCGAGTACCAAGGTGGTTTTCAAGTCCGTCCAAGGCAAGGCTCCGTTCCACTCTGGCGACCATCGTGCCACCATCCGCCACGCCCTCACCCAGAGCAAGCAGCAGCAGGACGTCGCCCACAAGACCAAGAGGGAGGCCGCCCTGTCGCACATCGACCGCCGGCGCCATCGCGTCCTCTCCCGCAGCGCCGAATACAAGACGTCCGGCTGGCTGACCACCCTCCCGTCGACAGACAACAACACTGGTCTTGATGCTGCGGAGTTTCGAGATGCCCTCAACATGCGTTACGGCCGTCACCCTCCCGGCCTCGCTGCACGCTGCGACCACTGCAACCAGCCCCTCACTGTCGACTATGCGCTGTGCTGCAAGTGGTACGGCCTGGTGATTCATCGCCACAACGAGCTGCGGGACACTTTTGCCGAGCTGATTGGGATGGCGTGGGGGGACGCTGGTGTGCGTCGGGAGGTGGTGTTGAAGGCGGGAGAGGAGGGGGAGGGCGGGGTCAGGGCGGACATCGTCGCTCGGGGCGTGTGGGAGCGGCAGGCTGGTGCGTCGTTTGACATCTGTATTACGGATCCTGACGCACCGTCTTACGCTTCCAAGAACTGATCGACCAAGTCCATCCTGAAGCAGCACGAGACCGCCAAGAAGAAGAAATACCGCTCGGCCGTCTGCGACTCCCGCGTGACCTTCTGCCCTCTGGTGGTGACGTGTGACGGTGTGTGAGGACACGATGCCAACGTGTTCATCGCTCACATGGCTCATGCGCTGTTGGAGAAGGAGGGCTGGAAGGGTCGGGGGTTCAGTCATGTGTCTGGATGGATTCGCTCTCGCTTGTCTATCGCCCTCGCGCGTGCGACTAGCTTCTGTCTGCGTGGGGGAGGGAGGGGAGGGTTTGCGGGACTGGGGTGTGCTGATGGGGCGGGGATTGATCCCTCCTCCCCTTGAGCCTGTTTGAGTCTGCGTGCTGATGGGACTGTATTTGTATGAGTATCACGGACACACAGACGAGTGTTACGGTTAATGATAGTTTCTACTAAAAAAAGATTTATTATGCGTTTGCAGAAAAAGGAATTTGCAATTTGAGGCGTTGGATGCATTTGATAGAGGTGTGGAGCCATCATTCACTGACGACGGGTAGAGCGAGCAGATGCCGGAAAGAGAGCTAGCTGCAATGCGGCATAGGACATATAGGTAGCGAGTTGGCCAGCTCCTGCATTGGCTTCCCGTTTTTCGTCCATCACTCAATCCCTTGTATGGGGTTTCACGGAGGTGAAGGGGATTTCGGAGAGGAATGGGAGAGAGGAGGAGGGCAGTGGGAGAGCGGGATGAGGTATGGCGACGGGAAAAGGGTGCATGCAGTCATGCGACTCTTGAGGGAGCTGGCAACGAGCCTGTGTAACGGGGACACCCTAACACTGACTCGTTCGGCGCACTTTGCATGGCAGTCGTTTTCCTTTTTCCCTCCCTCCCTCCCTCCCTCCCTCTTCGGAGGCCTGGCTTTTTTCGGGAAGGGCAGCGCCCTCCCTTGGTAGGCTTGCGCACTCGTCTTATCCCGCCTTTCGGCGTTTCTGTGGGTCTGTGTGGTGGGCAGTGTGCTGCTTTCTTCCGTCTACTTTGCTGCCTTTTCCACATGTGGCTTACTATATTCTATATTGAGAAACAAAGACTTCATGCCGATTGGACACAACTGACGACGGGTCGTGAATGACGAGCAGAATCGCTTGGCTGTCCACTCACTGTTTTGAAGTGCTCTTTTATATTTCCCAGACACACGCAGGGCACACGAGAAAGACCTGTACATATGTAGGATGGCCTGTGATCACGGGAGGGAAGACCGGCGGCTATATGTGGGGGGAATGTGGCGAGGCATCAGAAGGCGATCTATCATATTATGTTTGTGCATGATACTATTTTCGACCATGTCCACGGAAGCGAGAAGACAGAAGAAGACGTACACACATGGATTCGCGAGACGAATGCTCACCGTGTGAAAAACACCATTGTGGTTTTCACCATACTCGTACGCCAAGAGACCATACTTGACAGTGTGTCTGTCCGCCCCTGAGCACGCCGTGGTGGTTGTCGGGCAGCGCTTCAGCAACGACTGGCGCGAGAGCAGCATGCACAGGGACGGCCGCGTGGGGCGGGTCCGTTTACACTTATCGCGGCCGTTGTCTAACGGCGGCGCTGGCGTAGTTTTTTGGCACCCGCCGAGCAGCACATCCATCAGGGTCCTCCCTCCCACAGCAGCGCCATGCACCCCACCGTCGGACTTGATCGCAGCTTCAAACCAAACACGAAGGTGGTGGCGCTGGTCTGTGTCGTGTGCCTGGTTCCCCTCATCGCAGGACAGGTTTGTGCGCATCTCGATCCCCATCCCTCCCTTCCTCATTTGCTGTTTCTTTCCAGGGACCTGGCGTAGATTTCGACGATTTGCATCGGACTGAAGAGGGCATCTACGCGAACAAGGACAGGTGTTTTTGCCCTGGTGTGGGCGGCGGGTGCTTTGGCGAGTGCGGCAAGAAGGCCTACGCCGCTGAGGTAAGCAACGGTCTCGCCTTCCCTTTGTAGTCTCCCTCCGTATCTCTCTGCCTAGTTGGCATCCTCGGAGAATTTCACCTACGGGCGGTTTGAGGCGAGGCTGAAGCCCAGCGTCGAGGTAGACGGTACGCTTTACCGACAAGCCGGTCACCCATACATATCGTCGCGCCTGATATTGTCGTGTCTGTCGTCGTCCAGGCATCCTTTCTGCAATCTTTCTCTTCCAAAATGACAGCGCCAGGCTGCCTGGGGCAACGTGGGAGGAGATTGACATTGAGATCCACGGCATGGGCAGCCACGGCCGCGAGCCCATCCAGACCAATATCCTCACGGGCGACTTTGAGAAGAGAGTCGAGACGCCAGAGTTCTTTGCAGCGCCGGGCATTCCAGACGACATCGACGCACAGACCAACGCTGTCAAGAAAGGCTTCCACGTCTACGCCATTGAGTGGACCCCTGACTATGTTGCCTGGTACTTTGATGGCGAGAGGCTCCGCATGGACGCCCCATGTGAGGCGGCAGACGCCGCTGGCAGCGACTGCCAAGTCCATCGACTATGGGAGCCCATGAATCTTCGCCTGAGTGTCTGGCCTACTGATCCTGAGCTGGTCGACCCGGACTGGGCTGGCAGCTTTGATCCGGCAGAGCTTCCGCAAACCATCTATTTCGATTTTGTCAAAGTCTACGATTACAACTACGACACAAAGGGTACACACAGACATTCACGTAGATGTACACACTCAGGTGTCAGAGAGGCAGCACTCATTCATTCTCTGTCTGGCTGATCCGTTTGGTTTTTGGTTCGGTCGTGTGTGTCCCTCAATCCATTAGATTTCGACTTAAGGTGGATTGACGAGTTTGACACACTCAACACGACTCGCTGGGAGATGGGCATTCACACATTCACCGTATGTGTGCTATTGAGAGTACTGTTGTCTGCATGCCATCTGTGGCTGTCTGTTTGTCTGTTTGCACTTATATGCCCGATGTGCAGGTCAACTACGCCCACTTCAGGCCGTCGAATGCCGCTCTTATCAAGTCGTCAGAGGCGGATGGTGACCCCCAGTCTGATGGCTCCTACCTGGCCTTGTCCATCACAAATAAGAACGATGAGGCCGACATGCGCTCGAGCAATCTCATTCGGTGAGTGAGGTGTCGAGTGTTGCGGCGATTTAGTTAGGGAGCTAGCTGGCCCAATCAAAGACTCTCTGAAATTGTCTTCATGGTTTGTGGGATCGCAAGAGCATACTGCAGAATTTTTTGATGCGACACAAGCACGTCTTGTGAGAACAATGGATCACATCGAGGCTGATATACGGATTTCGTGGGAAGCGGGCCTGATGCGTGTGTGGGTGCCCTGCCATCCATCGTTTGATTTGCATGCTCGTCTGTCGGCGTCTGTCGGTGTATGTGAATGCGTGCAGTATACTCTGGCTGTACATATTTTGTCCCACTCACTCACTCACCCGTCGGTGCATTGGATTGGCAGGCAGGCCGCTGTTCCTTCCGCATGCCTGCATGCCGTCTGCACCTAGCTCATCGCGTGCACGTTCAGCTTTCGCGATAAGCAAAAGGTTTCTATCTCGGATCAGTGAAAGGTGTCTATCTCTCTGTCTGTCTGCCTGTCTGTCTGTCTGTCTGTCTCGTGCGTCTCTGAGTGGTTTGTCGTCGCTTGTTCTGCAAATATCGCGTGCCTTCAACCAACCAGTGCTATGGTGTCCTCGGTTGCGACGTACATGTGTGTGTCACTGGAGGTGTGAAGTATGTGGTGTGGCCGCCAGCTTGATGCACGGCAACATTAGAGCACTAGTTGTTCTACTGGTGTGGCGACCTCATCTCAACGCAGTTGAATGTACCACTATTCAGTACCATTCAGCACGAAACACTTAATAATGTACAGACCATGTCAGAGCAGTCAGTGTTGTCTACCTGCACCAGCCGATGCATTACTAACATACTAGCGCGAGCCCGCGCTTCGCGCGGGGAGCACAGAGAGAGAGAGAGAGAGACCGTCGACTTTGATGAGACCGTGCGACTTCAGAACAGCATGGATACAGATGGACAGGCATATTTTGCCAGTGTCTGCCGGTCGAGCCGCGTCCGCAACTTCATCGTTGTCCTCACACACACACACACACACACACACAGAGAGAGAGATAGAGAGAACACACACACACACACACACAGAGAGAGATAGAGAGAGAGAGGCACTGAGGGATGTCTGTCGTGTCTCGCAATCAAACGAAGCACAGGAGACGGACACGTCGGAAATGGATGTCCAGATAGACGACAGTCAGTCAATTTGGTTCGTCGGCATCCTGAATGATGGCCTCTATCGAGAGATGCGGCACCAATGTGGGTATTTCATCGTCATTCTCGGAGTGGCAAGAACACCGTGTTATTCGCCCCGCAGCCTGCTCTTGTATGTTGTCGATAATGTACAGCTGCGCAAATTTTCGCGGATCGTTTGGATTTATCGGCATCGATGCTCAAGGACTCGTCGAAGTTGTCAATAGGGATGCGGAACAACCGCAAAGTGGCTGTCCTCTGGGCCGCATTCCTGGCTCGTCGTGTTGCATTGACTTGATCAGCAGCCACTCTGTGACGGGGCCGTCGTCTTGCATCTGTCCCCTGTGCCGCTCGCTCTGAAGCGTTGGCCGCATAGCTGGCTCGTCGTGTTGCATTGCGTTGATCAGCAGCCACTCTGTCACGGGCCCGTCGTCTTGCATTTCGTTCGGTGGCCTCCATATGATGCCTCGCTCTTCTGCGAGTCTTGCGCTGGTCTTGCGCAAGGGGGCGACCACCTCTAGAGCAACACACACACACACACAGACACACAAAGTAGCACACACACACACACAGAGACACACAAACAAACAAACACACAGCATTGTGCCACTTGTGGTCGCCTTTCTCAATGGGTCTTTCCTAGCACCTTCATTTGCTGTGCTCGACGTCGGTGTTTGATTGGACAGGTTGGAGCTAGCGGAAGCCTGATAGACGAGACAGAGGATAGCCACTGCGCCGATCAGCAGAGCAAACGCTCCCCTCATCGCCGTTCCTTCTTCTGCTTGATGCGAAACCACGCGCACACACACACACACACACAGAGAACACACAGAACACACACAGAGAACACACAGAACACACAGAAAGTGACCTTGTGAGCCTCTTCAACTTGGCTGTGCGACTTTGACGATACTGTGCAACCTCGACTTTGCTTCCTCACCTGGCTGAGCCGTCAGGAGCTGCTTTTGATGGGTTTGCTGCTCTCAGGACAAGCGTCAAGGACCTCTATGTGCAGAGCTCTTGCAAGCAAGGCCGTCAGGAGCTCCTTTTTCAGTGGCTTTGCGGCTCTTAGGACAGGCGTCAAGCAGCTCAGGACACGCGTCAAGCGCTCTATGTGCACAGCTCTTGCTCTCGTCTGCACCTGACGGAGCCTTTAGGGGCTGCTGTTTCAAGTTTTCTCGCTCTCAATCAAGACGACTGAGGAGGAGGAGCCCGTTGTGCAACGCTGACAGGAGGTCTCTCTTCGCGTGGGGGCGGAAAGGGAGGGAAGGGAGGGAAGACAAGGATTTACAAGATCGGTAAAGTGCTCTCTAACCGCGGACGACCACGACCACGATTGTCCTATTTAGAATAGATCTACCAACAGACCAGTCACCTGCTACCTGCTACTTGCAACGCAGTTGCCATTGTCTACCCAATCCCCACACAGTCGATCGGCACACAGACGCCCATTACACAGACACCGACAGGCATCCCAGGTAGCTTCCGAAAAGGCTCACAGTGAGCCCTCACACGATTGCCCACATATATGAGTCCCAGCCAGAGGGTCAAAAAGGCTGACATCCCGAATTGGGCGATGCAAAGGGCATGTATGTCAGGCAGCTGGCAAGAATGCAGCCACGCAAACAAAGACACACAGGCGTTAATGTGTGTGTCAGGGAGATATTGCGCCCTCGACACATTCTCTCAATTCAAGAGCCTTTTAGCGCTGTGTCTCTTATCAATGTGATTTGGAAGAAGTATCGTATATCCCACAAATAATGTCGGGAAACAGACCATTTCTTTCCTTCATCGTGTTATCCCATTCCGTGTGCGACATCTCGCTCACATTGCCCCTCAAATATGTCGCCCTTCCTTTCTGGAACTCATTGGGTCCTCCGTCACGGCTGAGAAACTAGAAGTATACAGCCCCATGCACTCACGCACTCACTGCCTGTCTGTTCGACCTCCTACGTCTATACGTGCTGGCCAACAGAGATGACAGAGATGAAAGAGGGGGTATGCACGAATCACGTATGTGCGAGTCAGAGAAGGTCAGCGATCTGTCGAAACTCAAACGGACATGTCACGGCCAACGACTTGCCGAACAACAGCTTGTAGTCAGCCCGAGATGGAATGACCCACTTGATAGGCATCCTTTTGACTTGCTCCACGCTGGCCTTCGCCTGTGGCCCCACCCCGCCCCGCACCCACACTGATACCATCTTCACTGGCGACAGCTCGGGATACTTCGTCAAGAGGGCCGGCTCGACAGGCAGAGGATGGCTGACATCGCCAGAGAGGTCAGCAGCTATCGTCACAGTGTCCTCCTCTGGTAGTTTGTCTGCCCGTTTGCACTGGTAGCCCCACACCTCTGTGACCTTGCCGTTCTTCGTCACGAAGATGAACAGGTCGTACGTTTCAAAGTGCTCGTCGGCGGGCTTGATGAAGAAGGCGGCACAGCCCTCGGCCAGCTCCGGATAAACCCTTATCGCCTGCGAGAGATGTCCGCCTGGCTTGACGAACGACTCGACGACGTCTTTGAGGGTCTTCCAGTCGGGGCTCCTGATCCAGGGTCCGATACTGCATGCACTGTGGATGACGGCAGGGGGAAGGGTGTTGTGAAGCTCTTTTGGAAGAGCGGCGATGCGGGCTACTGCTCGGGGGTTGTTTTTCCGCAGGTGGCTCTGGATCAAGCGAAGACAGAGAGCTGCCGCACACGGCCCTTCCCGCTGGTCTCCCGACTCGCCTTTGGCCGAGTTGAGCTTCCACAAGTTGGCGGCGGCGGCACTAAGCAAGGAAGTGACCAGTAAGCCCAGTTCCTTGTCATATTCGGCCAGCTTGGTGAGAGCATGATAGAGATAGCAAGGGGGCCAGACGAACTGAGTAGTTCCCGAACCCTCCTCGTCGAAGACATCCAGCAACATCTCCCACTCTCGGAGGCCATACAGTGGCCCACTCCCACTGGAAGAGGAGACAGTGACAGGCAGAAAAATAGTATACAGTCACATACAGTGACATCCAGCTCATGTGCGTTCCTCCTGCCGGTGCACCTATGCGTACCTCACGGCTGTGTCGATGACGGACCGTAGGATGCGAACAGCATCTGTCGGACGGTCCACAAGAAGCCTCGGGAGCTTATCAGTCAGATACCTTGGTAGCAGCTTCCTTCTGGACCATTCCCACAGAAGCGCTGGGCTCCGACCTGCCCAGCATATTTGTGCCGTGTTGGCACCGTAAAGGCCGAGGCGCTCGCTCACGAGCTCCAGGTCTTCCTTTTCGATGCGGGGCAGTGAGGGGCAGAGGACTCTGCGACGGCTGGGAGACTGAAGGAACCTGCTGAGGTCAGCGAAGGGTCGATTGACGTGGCTGCTAAAGGCGAAGTATCTATTGCGCCGAAGAAGAAAGTCTTCCTTGAGCCACCGACCCACTTCGCTTTCACCTTCCCTGCGCTCTTCCGTAAACTTGACGAAGTTGTTGAGCTCATCCATGAGCAGCACAGCCCCCTCGTCCCCCAGCCAGTCCCTGATTGTCAGCTGGTCGATGGACGCATGCACGATCCACTTATCGAAGCATAGCTCGTCCACAGCCACCCCTGCCGCAGCTGCCACTTCCGCTGTCGCTTTCGGTGTCCTGGCCTCCCACGCCAAACGAATGAAGACAGAATCCTTCAGAGACGCTAAGAGTGTCTTCTCCGCTCCTGTGTAGGCGGTTTGATCGCAGAAGGAGACCTGAATGGCGCCGATGCCCTCCTCGCGCAGCTTCTTAGCCAACTCCTTGAGCGTCCTTGTCTGTTGGAATCCACGCGCAGCCTTGCGTCATCATTGAATCCTGCCACTCTCCTGAGCCAACTGATCTTCTTCTGTCTGACTTACCTTGCCCCCACGTGAGAATCTTGTGAATAGCATCGGCATGACGCGATCGTTTGAGGTGTCGTGTGGCTGCTGGTACTGTGGACGCAGTAGGCCGTATGCTGTGTCGACGAAGCGACGACCGATGAAGTCGGGGCTTTCGCCGCTCTCTAACGGTCGGAGCGGCACTTGTGCGGGCCGGTAGAGGTGATCGCGTGTGAGTTTGACAACACGCTCTGCGAACACGCAACACGGACACACACGTGTAGCTATCTGCTTTGCCATCTGCGTCCCTCTTCGTCTTGCTCTGTGTGTGTGTGTGTTTGCGTACTTGTCTCGGCGAGTTCTCTTGATGATGAATAAGCCGACTCTGTAGGAAGGAGCATCTCTTTCGACAGAAACACACATAAACATGAGTGCATACATACGCAGAGAAGATGATCACAGACAGCGGGAGGTTCCTTGCATTGGTACACGCCTACCTGGAAGTGGCTTCCCGGCTTGCACCCATCCCGAAAGGCCTAGCTGCTTCACCATGGCGTGAGAGGGGGCTAGACCCTACACATGCAATGGATTGGCGAGGCACACAACCACTGACTGACAGTGTGGTCCAGGTGTGTTCCTGGAGCAACAGACATGCCCTCACCCGCTCCTGCAGTCGAACGAGCAACGCCTCATACTCTTCTGGATCCCTCTTGCCGTCCTCGCCAGTGCGTGAGGTGCTATTCGGCACTGTGCGGCACTCACCGGGCGGCCATCTGAATGATGCCAATGATGTTCACGCACACAGAGACAGAGTGGCATATATGTCTCGCCATCCTCAGGCTGGGCTGCCTTAGCGCGTATGTGTGTACCCGGCTCCGTCGCTTCGCCTCTCGTTATCCCGATCCCTGTCCCTGTCCCTATCCCGGTCCCGACTGCGGCTGCGCTTCCGCAGGTCACGGCTCCTCCTCCACGTACATGCGCACAAGAGGTCATACAGCACAGCAAGCGTTCATGTCGTTCTCCTTACTTGCGCCTATCTCTATCCCGATCTCTGTCCCTGTCGTCCTCATAGTCATATGACCGGTTCCGGTCTTGGTCACGGCTCCTGCAGACAGCAGAAAGCATCACGCACATGCTGGTGATCCAACCACCGAGAGTGGTACAGCTAGCAATTGGCTCACTTGCGCTTGTCCCTGTCCCTATCCCGGTCCCTGTGTTGGTCCTCCCGGTCCCTGTCATCGTCACGCTCACGACCACGGCCACGCTCACGCCTTCGCTCCGCCCTAGGAAGTGGATCAGAGTGTAGAGATCTTGCATCAGAGAAGATTCATGCATCGGGTGTGTGCATCATCATGCTCGTATGTGTGTGCATGGCTTGCTTACCTATCCCTGTCACAGTCTTTGTCTCGGTCCCCGTCCATGTCTTTGTGACGTCGCCGCTCCTCTCTTTCCGTCATGACGATCACATCACCTGATCTGCCAAGCACACTCGCGTGGCTCTCACACTGCCAACAGCAGCTCAGCGATTGCCGTAATCCGCTTTCCCTCTGCAGCACCGGCACGGGAGGGGGGCTTAGAGCAATGAACGCACGAAACGCAACGAACGCAGGCGTCACTTAGCGACGACCAGCCAAAAGGACGAAAGACCCCTTTCTCTCTTTTGCTGTCATGGAAGGGGTTGCACCGTCAATCGTCCGGTCTACGGTCGACGGCTTCTTCTTTGAGTGGTTGGCGCTGCCGTCGTCTCAGACGCTGATCAAGAGCGCCCTCCAGGACATTCAGGACGGTACTTTCGATTCGGTGAGGAGAGGAAAAGCGAAGGTGGCAGAGATCCCCTGGTATTTTCGTGTGTTTTGCCAGTCCATGGTTCCGCCTCCTCACGGCGCTTCGTCCTCGCGGACGGGCGGCGCTCCTCTGCTTGCTTCCCCTCCCAGCTCTCCGAAAGCCTCCCACGCCCCCTCTCGGTCCCCCTTATCCCCCTCGCCCAGCCCGCTTTCACAGTCGCTCATGCAGGCCACCTTCTCGCCGCCTCCGTCAGCGAGTGTGAGCGCCTCTGCTCCCCAACTGTCGCTGCCCTCGGCAGGCTCCACACAGCTGTCGCTGACCATTCCTGGAGTATCTGGTCCAGCCCCTCCTCGTTCCCCTGTTCGACGCCCCATATCGTCCCATCTCACCGCAGACACCCCGCGGCCTGCGGTGGGTGCCTTTATGCAGGGCGGCATGCTGCCGGCGGCCGCTGCTGACGCGGACCATATGGCCATGATGAACAAAGGGGATGCAGACGTGTCACCACCTCTAAACGAGGCGCACCAGGTAGTCACCAATTGACACGACACGCAGAGAGCTGCTGTCCTTCGTATTCCTTCCCTCGCTGCATTGGATGTACACTGCAGGCTGATCGATTTAATGAGCGCTTCAGCCCAATGTCCCCTGGTGCGGCCGGGACCGATGCAAGTGCTTTGGTGGAATCGCACCCGATTATGAAGGACGTCATGCCCTCCATGGCCCTGTCCCTCACGCTACAGCAGTCCCTCAGCCCTCCGCACAGCAGCGCATCGGCCAAGGCTCATGATGACCTGGCTGCTTCCGGCCCGCATGTGAGTCCTGGGAGGCTGGTGTCACTCGATCGACATGAGAGGGATGTCGACACGAGCCCTGAAGCAAGGCAAGAGGCCTACGAGGCGTCCCTCAAGCTCCCAATCCCCACGTTTTACCATCCCAAGCCGCACCCGCTCCAGTTTGTGGCTCAGCGACGTACTGGCGATGGGCTGGGGATCGCTGAGGAGGATCGGGTGCGCATCGATGAGGTCTACGCTGCCTGCTTGGCCGCGAGAGCCGAGGCAAAGCCGCACGAGCCACATGCCATAACGGCCGAGGGCAAAGCCGGTGCGGGACTGCGTCTGGACGAGTTCGAACAGGAAATGGTCGTTGGGTTGCTCGGGCTTTCAAAGTACTTCGCTGGTACGGAGCAAGGATGGCAAGGGGGGAATATGCGGCTTTCCATCTGACTTTCCACTGTCTCTATGTGTCTGTGCGATTTCCCTCAGGTGTGCTATTTCATCAGATAGCGATCGATGGCGTCGTCACGAAAGATCGATTGCTCAGATATTGGTCCAGTCGGTTGCTCGGCGTCTGCAAGCCCCCATCTGCTCCAGAAGAAGACACTCCATCAGCGAGCGGGGGTGCCCCGAGCTCAAGTGAGATGGACGAGGCCGCCAGATATGACAGGATGGTCATGAACTTCTTCAATGTCGTGAGGGCGCCGACAAATGAGTACATCGAAAAGAACGACCTCAGACCTTTCGTCAAAGGTACCATACACTGATGAGGAACGTGTCCTCGAACTCGTCCGTCTATCGATGTGTGCCCCACATGCATGGCTTCAGAGCTGCTGAATCGCCACCCAGGCCTGGAGTTTCTTCACGACACCCCAGAGTTCCAGGAGAGATACGGTAACTACCCGCACGGACCCACACGCAAACGCGAAGGAAGAAGCAGGTCGTGCGGACGAATGTGGATTGGTTACGTATGTGCATTCCTCTCAGCTGACACGGTGATCGCAAGAATCCACTACGTATGCGAACGACGCGGAGCGGGGAAAATCTGCTTCAAGGTGAGAAGTGGCATCTGATCTGAGTGCCCCTTTTCTGACTTGCACCTGCACTCTTTTACTTGTTCAGGACTTGCGCCGGTCGTGTGGAATTGCGCACTCGGTGCCCGACTCTCCAGTTACGGCTGCTACTCCCATCGTGCGCCGTGACATTGTGTCTGTGTGGAAGAGTCTGGACTCAGAGGATGACATCAACAAGGTGCGGGATTTCTTCAGCTACGAGCATTTCTATGTGCTGTACTGCAAATTCTGGGAGCTCGACCAGGACCATGACTTTCTCATCGACAAAGAGGACCTCCTCAGGTGCGCACGCGTCAAACAGCGCGCATGGCTGCACATCTAGATTTGTTTGTGCCTCACAGGTATGACAACCATTCGTTCAGCCGTCGGGCGATTGAGCGCATCTTCACCCAGGTGCCCATGGCCTTCACCTCCACAGTGCCGGGCAAAATGGGCTACGAAGACTTCATCTGTAGGCCGAGAGAGGCTCGCACATCGCACGCGACCATGCCTCCATTCATTCGTACGCTGTCTGTCCTTGTTCTCTTTCAGGGTTTCTAATTAGCGACGAGGACAAAACGACTGACAGGTACGTACCTGTTGACGTACGTGAGGGATGGATGGGATGGACTAGATGCATGCCTGCTCTTGCCATGAGTGAATATCTACCTTCGTTCAGAAGCCTTGAGTTCTGGTTCCGGCTCGTCGATCTTGACGGGGACGGCTGCATCAGGTCGCAAGTGCGCTAGCCTGCCTCCGAGGCGCAATTGCAGACACGTGCTGCTTGTGTGACTTGTGCAGGGACCACGAGATGTACTACTTCTATGAGGAGCAAATGACACGTCTGGAGTGCTTCAATCACGAGACTGTCCCCTTCCAAGATGTGCTCTGCCAAATGTAAGATGAAAAGTGTCCCGCTCCCTCTTCCTTATTCCCATAGATATGTATGTGTGGGTGGGTGTGTGCAGGTGTGACATGATCGATCCGTCTCTGGAGGGCCACTTTCGCCTGAGTGACTTCAAGAGACAGCGCAAACTCTCCGGGACCTTCTTCTCCATACTTCTCAGGTGAGTGACTGCAGCCATGCGCAGAGTCAGTGAGTGGTGTTCCTCAAAGCATATGTGTGTATCATTCATGGAATCCGTTTGTTTCAGCCTCAACAAGTTCCTGAATTACGAGCAGCGCGACCCCTTTGCCATCAAGCAAGAGCAGGCTGAGCACCCCGGATTCAGGTGGAAGCGACACATAGCGATTGAGAGCATTGCAAGGGACGTGTACGTAATGTGCTTCTCTTGTACAATTGTGTCGTGTCCGTGCAGCGACTGGGACCGATACTGTGCAACAGAGTATCTTCGCCTCGCGTCTGAAGATGACTCACAGGAGGATGACATGCACACATTACTGTAGACAATGTCGGTGTCATTCACATTACACGATGTCAGCCCAACTGTATGTAAGACGTGCATGACGAATATCACGTCACAATCACCGAAAAGCACGCGGTCAAGGAGGGTAATTTACAGAGAGTGACCGAAAGTTGCAAAGAGACAGTGATTGGTAAAATGCAGCAGCCCTCCAAGTTGATGGACGTGCGCATTCATCATGCTCCAACAGATGCGGTGGCTGCCCTCATTCCCCAGCTCCACCCAGCTCACTATACACAACCCAACACAACACGTACGCATAGGAGAGGGTGCAGAGAACTGATTCGCGCAGAGAGTCATTTCCATTCATGGAGAATGGTTGATGGTTAATTTCGAACCACGTTTCGTACCGTCAAATTGGCGAGACACAGGAATAGCACATCCCTCGCATCTCTGCTTCGAGAAATGCCCCCGCAGCGTCCTCCTTTCGCAGAGAACCTCCTTGGCTTGCAACCCCATCACCAATTGTCAAAACCAACGTCGATTGAATTCCAAAACGGAACGTTTCACGCGTGTGCTTTTTTCTCTTGACCCAGAGCAGACGAGCCCAGACAAACTGCACCAGGCTGTCGTCCATCTTCTGAAGGTGGATTTTGTGCCCGCTTTATTGCCTGCAAAATTCCATGGCATCGTGACTGCGTCGAAATCTTCGCTGCCGAATTAATATCGGTCCCCCCACCACTGTCTGATGCTTTACCGACATCAACACCATGCTAGCGTAGTTCTTTCATGGACTCCTCGTGCCGATGCGCTTTCCGTGAGCACTCGACTGGATGCAAGGATCGCGCATTCCTTAAAACGTCCCAAATGTGCCGAAAAATTAAAAAACAACAACAACAACAACAACAACAACAAAAAAGCAGACCGCAGAAGAATACTTAAAACAACGCAAATAAATAGAAAATTGAGGACAAATTCCAACAAACAAGGAACAAACTTTAAAAGCCGCCCAAAAAAGGTGTCCGTGTGTGGATGGATGGATGGTGTGTGCATCCGCATGCCTGCCTGCCTCTTCTTCGTCCCTCCCCCGTCCCTCCCACATATGGAGACATGCATACATAATTCATACAGACAAACAGCCAGACAGTGTCGGCAGAGGCACGACATTCATTCACAGAGGCAGACAGTCGGGGATGGTATATACATGAACCAAATCAATTAATCAACCAGTCAGTCAATCAATCAACAATTTTTCTCGATTTTTCCAGCGTGTCTCGGTGATGTGCCGAGCGCGATTTCCGGCACCAAAAATCGCCACTTTCTTCTCTCGATGAGTTAGGTGAATCAAATGTACAATGTAAATGGAGCTTGCCTGACAACACCGCACCTTTTCTTTTGATACTTCTCTTTTTGATGCGAGACACCGGATTTCCAAGCAGAGGGAGGGATCTCCAAGTGTAGCGATCCAGAGCCGTAGCGATGATTCTCGTGAGTTCTCTCTCTCTCTCTCTCTCTCTCCCTCCTGACACAGAGCAGACAAATCCAGACAAACTGCACCCTGAAGGTCGAATGCTATTGCCTGCAAAATTGTTTGAGAATATAGATCGTGTCTCTGACACAGACCCGTGGCGGCACCAGGACTGCGTCGAGTTAATATCGAGACAAGACCACAAGGTCCCCCCACCGCTGTCTGATGCTTCATGGACCGACATCAGCATGTTGATGGCCTACCCCGACAAGGACCCCCTACGCCACTGTCTGATGTTTGTCCATTTGTATCAGCAACACCATCCAGGACTGTCAGGAAAAGCGTGGAATGGCCGGCACGTGGGTTGGCTCAAGACATGACTTAGAAGTCTCTTGCGCTTGTGTGTGGTTTCTGAAATGGAAGGCGCCGTACATGCGGCATCTTCCATGGGTCAGGAGGGTGGTGCGAAGAGCATTTCCATGTACGCATGTGTCGCTGTGTGTGATGGCTGTAGTTACCGGTTCGGTGTGGTCGTCCATTTATTCGTTCGTTCACCCCTTTGGCTCACATAAACACGTGTCCAATGAAACCGTCCCCTCATCAATTAACACATGATCTCACTCCCCGCAATCACGACAACACGAGATGAACACACGATGGATGTGTCACGATTGCACTTCACGCACTTGCGCGAAGGTGTCCGCTGTTGGGTGCCAGGTGACGATGTATCTGTCTGTCGCACGCCACACATGGAAAAACAGTGATGACCAAGTGATTGGTAAAATGCAGCAGCCCTCTAGTTGATGGACGTGCGCATTCTATCGCTTCAATAGATACGGTGGCTGCCCTCATTCCCCCCGCTCACTATTCACAACCCAACACAACACGTACGCAAGGCACCAGACAGGACAGCACGAGGCACTCCTACGAGAGAGTAGGCTCGGACAGACAGCTACAGGAACAGACGAGGATGCCATAGCTACGGCCACAGCAGTCTTAGTCTTGATGCCCATCCACCATGCACCTCACCCCCTCACCCACAACACTCAGGACAGCACTTTTCATGCAGCTTCTGCCGCTCTTGCGCGCGAGTGTGGTAGAAGCCGGCCGTGGCGGCGACGGCGGTGTACATCGTGATGGCGAGGGTTCTACAGGCGAACAACACGGGGCGGGATGTCACGGCTCTTTCACATTCGCTGATGAGACCCTCACGGAAGTCGTCGTTGCACTGATCGGCATCCGAGCCTGAGAAGCAAAGGAGGCCATCAATTGAGGAGGAACAGACACATGATGTCCTTTTCCTCGGCCACCGATTCCTCTGCCCTTCCTACCCAGCGTATAGTAGCAGCGGTCGTGCCCGTTGCACACCTCTGTGAAGTTGACGCTCCCCCACGTGTCGGGCCACCTGCTGCAACCGTTGGGAACCTGACAGACCACAGACCAAGCGCAGTTTGTCGTTATGTACTCGCTTTGTCTGCGTTCAGACTCTTTACCCGTGCATAGGGAGAGCTGCAAGGCGCTCCCTCCCTGCTGTCGCACTCGTCCACATCCTCGTCCAGGCGCCTGATGCTAGTGCGATTCCCGCCGGCAGCCATCGACAGGCCGACCACCAGGAGGACGATGACGATGTTGCTAACAGACACAACGGGAAGACAGGTGAGTGAAATGGAGGTTGTGTGATCCTGTGCGTCGTGATAGAGTGTACCTGCTCCCCGACATTCTCGAGTGCTGCACGCAAAGTTCGTGCGTTAACGGTCGCCTCTTGGCGGTACACCATGCACTAGAGGTATTAGTTTTGCAAGACAAGTTGCAAGATGCGGTGACACGACGAAACGAAGGAGCATAGAGACCAGCTGTACAAATGCCGGTCACGCACGTTCAGCGGGGGGTCGTGCATCGCCCCAACGTAGGGTTAGCGGTTGTTGAGAAACCAATCAGGCTATAGCCGAGGTTATCCATCTGCGGGCCGACGCATCGTTTCCTCAACAGCGGTTAGGTTTAGATTTCCACCCTCACTGACTGATGCATTGCTGTGCATGAGGCATCACACATTCACATGTGATGGATATCAACATCATGTGTCTGAGCAGTCACACGCTCTTGCGACGCTGTCGAGTCACAGCTGATGATCGCTTGTAGCACACAAGCCCATCATTCATTTATCAGGTGAGACACCTGTGCGCATTCAAGACAGGACCACAAACCACACGATCGGATGAAAAAACACCTTTCCACCCAATCGTGCAACAAAGCTTCTGTACCAGCACCATGCCTGCGCCGCCGACCACACTCATCATGACAGCGACAGCAGACAGAGAGAAACCCGCTTGAAAACAGTCATGTACAAAGCTCTCGACATGCCTCCCTCCTAACTGCATCTGCCACCCAGATGGACAGAGACAGAGTGAGACAGAGTGCGCGAGAGAGAGAGGGAAATGGCTGGCTGTGCATCCGCAAATTCTACCACCAGAACGGCCGGCAAACGACGGACACACACACTGTCACAACGCGCACACACACGAGGATGACATGACCGGACAGACCACCAATGAGAGAGGACATCAAGTTGGCGCCAGACACACATACAGACCCATGAGTAGGCGTGTATCAGTGCCTTAGAGATCCACGCGCACACATGGAAGCATCAAGCAGAGCACAGTGGCCTAACTACAAAACCCACGAAACCCCCACTCGGCCATCATGAACAGGAACACACGCATGCATTCATTCATACCATCCATCGATTTTCTAATCTCTTGGTTTATGGTCTTGGGTATGGGGAGGGCAATCCTTCCGGGCAATCGACCGGTGTAATGGACACTTCCTCCGTCTGCGGGCTGGGCAACCCGAAGATGCATGATGCGCCGCCCTGGACAAGCAGCCCTGTGCAGGTGCCGGAGCCGGCACGGCCAAGGATCCACGTGCCGCCGGAGAGGCACAAAGGAAAGCCATCTCCACCAAACGGGTCCACGGCGTCACACGTTATGGGAGCGATGCTCTCGCCCTCCCGCGCTGTCGTCGATGCGAACGGCGGACGCTGACCCAAACCTATTTGCTGCGCACACACATGGAGAAAGGCTCGCATCGCTGGACACAGCCACCCGCCCCGAGCGTACCGAGAAGTCGTCGACGTTGACTGTGATGGTACCTGCATGAGATGTGATGATTGGTGTATGTGGACAGGAGATAATTCAAAACATCAGTATTCCATTAAGCGCGACTATAAGACTATCAGTCACAATCATGACCAAAGCTGACCAAATGTGCCAAACTCAGGAAGGAAGGCGTTGGACCCGACCTCGCCAGGCGTGCGCGACAGTAGCAGACTGTTTGCGGACTGGTCGGCCGGAAAGTCGACTATCTCGCCAGTAAAAGCCAAACCCTTGGCATAGATCGGGAAGCCGGCCTCATCCAGCACGTCAAATGTGTAGAGGCCATCGAACTGCTCGGGCTCGAGCGATCGACCAACAATGCAGCCCACCCCACCGCCAAAGTTGACGGGCTGGCAAAGGGGCACAAAACCGCTAACCTCAATGTACTCTTGACACACGCGCATATCCACTTGTGTCGGACGGTGTCCTTCGGTCGTCAGCGGCTTACGAAAGAATCCGAATGAGTTGAGGACTCCGCCAGGTGTGGGCGTGGTGGCGCTCGGCTCGCCAAACACGGGAAATGCCGTGTCCACAGGACATTTCTCGGAGTTGGAGTTGCCGATAATCGCGCACCTGCACACCACAGCCGGTGGACTCAGCTATTGCTCCACTACGGACCCACATGGGTCCATGCCTTACGCGATTGCATCGGTCAGGCGGTTCTGCACTTCGTCGTCCACCAGCCGCTGGGCCTCTTGGCGATCGACCAGCTCTGAGGCCTGCCAGACGTTCTCGGTGATGGACTTTGCAAACGTCCATATTGGGTCCGTGTCATTGACTTGATAAAGAGGCGACAAAGCAACCGTTGCCCGCTCAATCCCACTCACAATCGGCTCCAGCTCCAGTCGATCAAGGTTCTCCTCAGTCAGGTAGGCAGTGGCAAATTCCTGAGACGGGCCAAAAGACGCAAACGTTGTTTGCAAGAGAGAACAAACAGTCGTTTCTTTGCCTTCCATCTGTGTGGGGAGGGACTGACCTCGATTGTGTTGACAATGTCACCAATAGCTTTCTGCACTTGCCCGACAGTGCTGTTGACGTATCGCTGTGTGATTGGGATACCAATTGCCCTCAACGCGTCACCCACTGTCACAACACGCACACGCAAGTGAGATCATGTGTTCATTGATACAGGTATCAAATGGCGCACGGGAAATGATGGTCGACCCGTGATTCATGTGTTTGGCAAGGCTCACAATTGGTGTTGGGCACGGCATCGTAGAGTTCATCAAATCGCGGCAACACACCCTCCTGGCCCGGCACGACAGTGGGGACCAGCAGATTGGGCACCTTCTCCTGAGTGGGCGCCTCGGTGATGGGAGGCTTGACAAGCTTGCCGGCGTCCAGCGATGCGGGAATGACGGGGTCAGTGAGGGCGGAAGGCAGGAAGGCCTGCGTCTGCCCACGGCGCTTGTGACGCTGCAGCTCCCGCCTCTCCACCGTTGCTCGTTGCTGCGCATCGATGGCGTCTTGGTAGGCGCTGAGGGACTTGAGCATTCCCGGCTGGTCGTTTGTTGAGCCCTCTGTGCTGTTCCCGTGCCGCCTAGGAAGGGCAAGCGCCACGTTCGTGCCGTCCTGACTGACGCCGATTTGCGGATGCTCCGTGTCCATCTCGGCCACCATGACGCCGAAATCGGCTGTGTCCATGTCGGCACTGCTTTTGCTGGTGGTCGTGTTGAGAGAGATGAGGCCGTCTTCGAGGATGACTGTCGTGTCGATTGTGAACAGGAGGGCCTCAGGCGAGCTCCCGGCGACGATGCTGACGCTCGGCCCCGCCATCTCAATGACATACGGAAGGGACTCGGCGACATCGAACCCCCGCAGCTGACGAAAGACGGCCTCCGTGACCCCTTCAATGGCCGTCGGAGCACGCCGTGGGGGTTGTCGGGCAGCGCTTCAGCAACGACTGGCGCGAGAGCAGCATGCACAGCAGTGTGGACGGCCGCGTGGGCACTGGCGAGGGGACAGAGTGGTGAGGTGGTCTCTCCGCAGAGGATGGAGGGGCTGCTGTTGGCAGGTTGTGCAATGGTTGTCACGAACACGCTGCAGAGGGGTAGGAAATGTGTCAATAATCGCCTGTGCAGCCCCTCCATCCCCGTCATCGTGCCCGCGAAGCCTTCCCCCGCCTCTTTTGTTGTCAAAAACATAACGGCCGTGTAAATGCACAAGAATGCATAGACGTTTTTGCTGCGATCAGGGTTTGCTGCTAGCCGTTTTTTCCTGTTCGCTTCGAAGCTATTCAGCTTGACACACTGAAGCAAGGCGAGTCAGTGAGGTTGGTTGGGAGAGATTCCCTTCCGTAGAAGCGCTCACCGCGCCCATTGGCTTTACTCACAGATGCGCTGACTCTGACTGTCTCGTGAATGATGGTTGGGAGCGTGCTTGAGATCGGAAGAGCCACCTCGAGATCTGCTGGAGCACACGCAACGGGACGGCAAATGACGTCTTGACGTGTCCGAGCAGAACCGCAACGGAATCAGCTACAGAAAAGGTCCCGCGCTCCGCGTGCTGCGTGTTGCGTGTCTGTCTTGCATGTTAGGGTGCGTGTTTTCATGTTGGAACAGACCGAAAAAGGACTTGGCCGTCAGGCCGCCTAGGGTGCTTCCTGAAACCGCTGCTGCGACAAGTAAGGCGCCCACCGAGCTGAGCGCGATGCACGACCCCCACAGGTGACAGCGCTGTTGAAGGAGAATGGGGAGGTGTGTCCATACATGAAGCATCCCATCATGGAACAGCATGAAGGTGAGTGAGTGGCTTGATTAAAGAGAAGGCACGGCACATCACAGATCATGCAATTCTGTGTGTCTGTGTGTCTGTGTGTGTGTGGTGTAGGGTGACCAATACGCAGCATGAAGCAGGCACGAGGACGAGCAGACAGCACAGCACAGCAGAGCACAGCACGGCACAGCGCAGCGCAGCGCAGCACGAGCAAGCATGAAGAGGCAGAGCAGGTGTGGTTCGGCCGGGAGGTGCAGACTAAAACGATGGCAAGCCAGGGCGTCAACACAAAATGACCGATGAGGAGATATGTGTGTGTGTGTGTGTGTGTGGAATCACTTCTTGTCCATCTTCTTCTTGATGTCCTTGGCCTTCTTGATGTCGAGTTTGTTGGGGGCCACGCTCTTGAGGAGCTTGCCCAGAACCGACTGGCCATCGGCCTTGGCGAGAGCAGCCCACAGTTGGACGGCGTCCTTGTCGTTTGCATCGATGGCGTCGCTGAACTCTGCACACAGAAGAGAGAGAGAGAGGCGTCGCTGTGTGGGAGGTTTGGGTGGATGTGTGTGTGTGTGTGTGTGTGTGTATGTGGCGTTTGTGTGTGGGCCGAGGAAGGTGTCAGGATCAAATGTCGAGGCCCTGATAGAGAGACTGCCCGCTCATCAAGTCCTCGCTGTGTTCGACTCAGAGGTCTGCCCGTTTTAGTAAGCCTCACCGTCCTTTTTTTGTGTATATGTGTGCAGTGCATGTGTATATTTATTGGCTTACTATTAGCTGTCCTGCTTGTCGTTCTGTCGTGTTGCAATGCTCATGCTCTGTCTGCATCCGTGCCAGTGCTGTATGTGTCTCTCTATTGATCGCCAGGACTGTTCTCACCTTTTTGCGTGTGATTTGATACGATGTGCATGTCCAGACGCCTCGGTGTCTTGGCCTGTTGACAATCGATGGTTTCTGTTGCGTGTCCTTACGTGTTTTCGTACATGTTTGTCATGGTGTTGTCTGTGTTCTCTTCTACATGTTCGTCTTGGAACGTCTGTCTCATATGAAACACACCGTCTCGCACCTTGGGCAGTGACCGACCGAACGTCCGTACGAAACCTACGCCACCAGAAAAGAGTAATACCGTAACGATCACAGGTAATACCTGGGTGATACACCACAAACTGAATGTCCTCTCACCTCTGACGCTGCTCTGGCTACTCGAGAGGCTGACTGTCCTCTCACCTCCAACGCTCTCTGGCTACTGATCTGGCACACATACACGTCAAGAATGACGAGGTAAGTCTGCTTTATATCGCCATGCTGTGTGTTTCTCACCCGAGCTCTGTTCGCCGTGTGCGTGAGGGCCCTTTACGAGGCCTCCGACGCTGCTCTCTCTCCCTCTCTTCCGCACGTCGGACTGATTTGAAGGGGGAGTGGGGGCTGCATGCGCTTTTCTGGCGTCTTTTCGTGTGTCTGTGTTGTCTTCTTCGGCGAACTGTCGATTGGCAACCCCGGAAGCACCGATCGTACGCGGAAAAAAAGTAGTCTAGAGCACTCCCCCGACTGGTGCTTTTGGGGGGGTCGTGAAATGGATGCTCGATGGCAAAGGTAGCGTTTTGCTTCTTCGTTGTCGTGGTTCATGGGAAGCGCCACGCGCCTCCTGCTCCAGCTCCCGCTGCCTTCCTCATGCCCGCAGAAGTGCCGGTGGGCACTCCAGCTCACCACCACGCCCATCAGACACAGGTATGTGTGCTTGAATTCAGTTGTGTAGCTTCTCCGAAACCAGTGTTTTTGTTTTGTTCCTTCAGCTGCATGTGTCTGAAAGAGGACCAGAGCGCAAAGATCCCATGAGGGATATATGGCGGTTGACAGGAGAACAGCTCGAGAGATTCTGGGAAGAGGTCGAGCCGCAAGATCTTGACAAAGAACACCTGGTCGGCACCGAAATCACTGTGGCGCCCGGAAGGACACTCATCGTTCACAAGGCCTACGTCGACATCGCGCGGATCATCATGGACATCGCCGACAAGCGTCCCCTGGATGTGCCTGGCCTTCAAGCTCTCCTGAGGGGCTCACCTGGAGTCGGTAAGTTGGACAGGAGATGATGCCTGTGTTTCGTTGGCATCGTGTGTGTGTCGCATGTAGGAAAGTCCTATTTTCTTCTTTTCTTCTTGGCATGCCTCAAGCACAAGCTGAAGAAGGACCTTGAGCACAAGACGAACGAGGAGGACGGCTGGACTATCGTATACGAGGACAACACGTCGAGGCTCTATTCACGGATCATAGAGTTAACTGCTGGTCCTGGTGAGACCTTCCGGGCTGAGAGTGTCCCATCGGCAAAGCGTGATGAGGTCATCTTCAGCCTCGAGAGGGGCAGGCGCAACTGGCTGCTCCTCGACGGCTGGGAGGTGAGACCTTCTCTGAGAAAGTCTCATCCGCGAAAAGGGTGATTACTTTGTGATTTCTCTGGCCATCTCAGGGGAAAGACTTCCGTTTTTGGAAGGGCCCGGCGCTGTTGGCTGCATCGAGTCGCAAGGAGTAGGCAGCTGGGTGCTGCATGTCCGAATCATTTCATTTTTCTCCTTCCCTTCCAGCAACTACAACGAATACAAGAAGTACGCGTCAGTGGACCTGGTGATGCCTATCTGGACTTCCGGCGAGATCGATGCACTGCTCGAGAGCAGCAAGGGCACCACAGGGCTTGATCAGTCCGACGAGCTCGACGAGGTCGTAACACACATCCAACCTGTTGGCGATGTTATGATGGCTCATGGATGTGTGTTATAATGATGTGATCAGATTCGGATGTACGCGGGAGGCATCGTTCGTGACTACTTGCCGCTGCTGAAGGGCGTCAACCCGCTGCCAGAGCTCCGGACTGCTGCCAGTCGAGCCCTCCAGGGCCTCAAGTTGAACGATATACGGCGATGGACAGGAGAAGGTCCGAGAGGCATCCCAGCTGATGACATCCCCGCGAGCGCGCTCCTCTCTCTCGATTGCTCAAGAGACGACTACAGCTATAGCGATGCCAAGATCGTCTGGCGGTCGAGCTTCATCGGCATGCAGTGGGCCTTGACGCTGTCTAAGGGACAATTGAGGTCCGAGTTGGATTTTGTCGAAGACCCTACACCAGGAGGCCAACAGAAAGGCAAGATCTTCGAGAGTCTCGTCAACGTCTTTCTGGCCTGCACCAGAAACCCGATCTCTCTCGAGCCAATCAAGAAGCACCAGGAGCGCGTCAGAAACATCCCTCGGGCAGAGAGGATGTACGAAGGTCAAGAAAGCACTCAGAAGCCGCACTTCCTGCGGACGCTGACACTCGAGGGCAGCAAACTGCCGAAGAGGGAGGCCCGTGTGTTCTTGGGCAACGACGCGAAGACGTACGACAACGTCTACGAGGAGGGATTCTGGGTGCCCTCTTCTGAGAAGGACATCGATTCGCTGTACGGTTCCATAACTGCATTGCTGTCGTGCGAGATAGCCGATCACCCATGCACACATCTCTCTCTCTCTCTCTGTGTGTGTGTGTGTGTGTGTGTGTGTGCTTGTGTGTGTGTGTGTGGTCAGCTACGTGGAGGGCGATACGGTGTACCTCTTCCGGGCAACAACCGACACCAACCACGAGGCCAGTGGGTTCAACGAGGACTTGATTCGCAGACTCAGATGCGGCAAAGCGATGAAGTTCAGCAAGACGCCATTTGTGATCGTTTGGTGCATCCCTCAGGGCGAGGAGATCCGCCCAAAATGGCCGAAGGACAAGCTAGGCGAATTCCTTCCAGACAAGGACAAATTCGAGGAGTACGTTTTCGAGCTGCCCACCGAGCGAGCCATGGAGGAACTTTCCGAATACATGGTATGTTTATCATATACAGGGTTGACGATTGATTGAATGAGTTCTTGTGTTCGCTGTCAGGGTCGTCCTGCTGCCCTCAAGAAGGGGGCAAGAGCGGGCATCTTATCGTGGATCACGCGCTCTTATTTCGAGAACGAGAAGTGACTTCGGTGAATGCGTCTGACTCACTTCTCCTTCTCGGTGCCGGGTTTAGTATGTCGTTCTCCGTCCTTTTTCCGTCGATGACGAAGAAAATGTGATTGCTGGACGACAGTTTTTTCACTGACTTTTTTAGTATTTATCCGTGTTGCTGAAAACAGTAAAAATTAACATGACGCTCGGGTCTGCTCTTGATACCAATGTCCCGCGGCCACCTGAGGGCTTCACTCGGATATACAGACACAAAGACACGAAGACCCACACACACAAAAAGAAGCGCAGACTCGTCTTGTGTAAGTAGAGAGGGAAGTACAGAGGGAGAAGAATCGCACATACAATAAATGACCGATTACAAAGTGAGCGGAAAATTGGCACTGAGTGATGTACGACTAGCCAAGATTGATCGAGGCGGCAGGTCAGCTCATATGAGTGATTCATGGGTGAGCGATGCGCTTCGCTTTCGGCGAGATGAGATGATGTCTCCCCAACCTCGAATGCTACGGGTACAGCGTACCAAATACTGTGCTCGGTATACCAGGATTCTTCGACCTATCTTCCGTATCCATATTCTTTCCTCGTTGAGTATGAAACGTTTCAACACGCTCACAAAACATTCACATATTCATCACGATGACAAAACAGCGTGGCCACGCAAAATGTCCCCTGCTTCGTCCTTGCCACAAACAGCACGATGTTTTGAGAGACCCAACAAGTGCCCCTCTGCGCTCAATCGTCGGTGTGGCCAGCCTCTCCTCAAGCCAGCATCTCGCGTGTTTGACACAAAGCCGGGTGCCAAAGTGCCTGTCTCTGGCGCTTCGACAGCATCGGTACCTGCTCGACGAAGCGCAACCCCAACCGACACAAGAACCTTGGCCCCTGCGATGAGGCGTAAAGAATGCGATGCGCTCTTCAGGGCCGGGAAGCGGGGAGAGAATCCATCTCTTGATGTCACCTCACTGTCTTGAGAGCCACCGAAGGATGGGAGCGGTCCAGCCTTTAGCCTTTCGGGCTGCGGACCGGGTGTCGATGCCAATGCGGTCATAGTGCGCTCGGTTCGACGCTGTGGATCAGCCTTGATCGTCAGACTGCTCGAGCTTCTCCCGTCCATTCGTGCCGTGACGTTTGGACGGGTATCCTTTTGTTTTTTCATCGGCTTTCCTGGTGGAGAGGGGGATGGAGAGGGGGACGAGAAGGAAGCCGATGACCTCCGAACACTCGGTTGAGATCGAATGGGCTGCTTGATGGTCTTGTCTCTCGTAGGTACAGCCACCGATACCAATGCCACGTGCCGTCTTTTCCCCGCAACCTCCATCTTCTGACTACCTCCCCCCGCCGCTTTCGATGCGTGTCTCGGGAGCTCAGTCTGCTGTTTAATCGGAGACGACCAAGCTTTAGACAGCCTGGTAATGTCAGGCCCCCGTGGGCTGAGGTCGACAGGGCTGTCCTCGTTGACAGTTTTCTGTTCGACAAGGACGGGCGCGGTGGGCGGAGCAGTGAAGTAGTCACGGTCCATGTCTCGACTCAAGCTGACCACCGAAGCAACATCCTCGACACCGACGACAGGTGGCGTTTGAGGCCGAGGGCTGGTGTGGCCAGAGATTGGCGGCGTGTCGTCAATAAGATACTGCTCCTCGCATATCGGCGTGAGAGTCCCTTTTCGCCATTGGTGCTCGCTGATGTCGGCTGGCTTCTCAATGGCCGACGGCGAAAGATCCAGGGCCAAGTCAGTCCTTGGCGTGATGGGGCTTGGACTCTCGAAACCACTTGGTCTGATGGAGACTGCTGGAGTGCCTCCTTGCCCTCTGCGTTGTGGTGGCACCTTTGTCCATCGAACAACTGGAACCGACTGACGCCTGGGGGCTGCTGGCGGCTTTGTCGCGGCGTCGACATGAGTTTGGGGGAGGGAGTGTCTCCTTCTTTGGTCAGTCGGAACAGCTTGTGCCTGACTCTGAGGTGGAGTTGCACTCGGCTCGGCGCGGTTGGGAGAGACGGTAGGCCACACAGTGACGACCCGACAAGTTTTCAGCAGCGATCCGCTTTGACCTATACAGACAGAGACGATAATTCGATTGTCTCCCCTTCTTCTCACCAACCTTGAGCAGCCGGAGGTGGAGAAAGGCACCAAATTTTTGTCGTTGCGTGTCCTTCACTGATCATCTGAACCTCTCTGGGACCATCGCTTGGCCCTCCAATAACGTGTGAAGGTTCGCTGGTTGCCGTGTGCTTCTCAGTAACACCCAACAGCTTGCAAAACATGTGCTGGACCGCCTGGGCGTGTTACAGAGGACCAAATATGCTGGATTTGCTCCTGCATGATGTTTCTTCGCTCACTTGTCTTTCTCTCTTCTTGGACGACAGGGACAGGAGAGCCTCAGCCTTCTCAAGGACGGTGTCTTCCTCATCCTGAGGCTCTCGGAGGGCATCCTGAAACACGATGAGAGAAGGGCGTCTCACTCCTCGCCCTGACAGCCTCGCCGTCCGCTTGACTTGAGGTGTGAGGGCAAGGACAGGGGACAGCACTGGCAGCCTGCTCGACTTGATCATTGGCTCCATAGGGATTTGATTCTCCCAGGACCGTTTTTCGTTTAACGTAATTTCGCGCGTATACCGGGTAATACTTGGGGTATGTGGCTGCTTTCTCTCGAATTCTTACGTTCCTCTCTCCATCATGATGCGCTTCGTGTCCCTCCTCTGCCTGGTGTGCTGCGCCACGCCGGGCTGCTTTACATCTTCCGCAGCAAGGAGCTTCCGCAGCCCCTCAAGTGAGATGAGCGCTGCGGCTCACAAGAGAGACATCATGCTGGCGCGAGAGTGGAGAGCGAGTGAGCGGCATGAGATGAGGGTACCGAAAAGTGTCTGTTCTTTGGCTGCGTCGTGCTATATATTTCCTCGCCCCGTTCGGCCCCGGAGGTGACGGGATGATTGAAGGAGGTCGCCGGCACCTGTGACGTGAGGCCTCACACAGCACACATGCTCACACCCATCCATCCCCATGTTGGTATTTCTATTTGTCAGGTGGGCCTGAGATGCCGCCGTGAAGCGCCGTGAGAATACATGATACATGGTACATGGATGGATGGATGGATGCTACGCCAAAATAGAGGGAGGGGCGGAAGGGAGGGAGGAACAAAGCCTCGCTCACCTTTCTAAGTTTGGTGGGCCTATGTGCTCGCCGTCGCCATAAAAAACACATTTTTTCTTATGTCCTGCTGCTCCCCTGTTGTGTTATGTGCGCTGTTGTGTGGATGCCATGTCTAGCTAGGGCTTCGTTGATGTGTGTGTATGTATGTATGTATGTGTGTGTGTGTCTAGTCGCTCTCTATTTGACGACAGTCTGTCTATATTAGCCACGCCGCTGCACTGCTCTGCATATTCACACCGCCTCCGTTCATGGATTTATGTACGTACCGTAATCGTACTCGTACACACAAGACAATGAGACAGACATAGTGAGGTACTAGGACAGATCAGTGAGCCGGGGGAGCCCAACACATACGTTCGTTTGGAGGACAGACAGACAGACAGACAGACAGACAGCAGTACATATCACCGACAAATCAAAGGAACTGACGGAAATGAATCAATGCGACAGTAAACAAATCCGCGCAATCACAATTGCAACCAATCACGATTACAACGAATGAAACGGCCAGGTCACGATTGCCCGGACTCACTGCGGCCGTGCGCTTCTTCCCTTTTGAAGGGACACGATCTGCTTCTGATACCCAGCCGTGAGGTCCTTGAAATGGCGTTGCAGTGCGTCCAACTGAATGACACATGACATCACACCGCAGAATACGGTGGCTATGGCCATCGTTGCAATAATGCCATGCCGTTGCTCACCTGTTCCTCTGCCGAGCTTGACTTGGCGAGCAAGTCCGATCGTTCCGCCTCCAAACGCCGCACCGTCTTCTCCAGGAAATCGACCCTGTCAGCGACGGACATTCACAGCTATGGACGGGCCCTCCGCCATATATCCGCCGGCATGTCTGTACCTTTGCTGGAGAAGCCGCGTGTCGCGAGGGAGGGCCTTGAGGCGCTTGATCTGGTCGGCCAGCTCGCGGCACTTCTGCAGAAGCTCAGGGCGAGAGAGGAGCTCAAACGAGTCGCCCTGGCCATTCGCAGTCTCTCCGTCGCTTCTGGAAGGCACACCACCTGCACAAGCCACACGACCACGGACAGGCATCAAGCAGTTTGTTCGCGTTAGTGCATGGTATGGTTTGTACCTTTCTTGATGGACTGCACGTCTTCCATGATCTGTTGCTGCATCTTCTGCAGGTGTGGGAGCGATGCGAGGCCGTCAGAGCCCTCAATCTCCTCTTTGAAGCGGCGCAGCGTCATCAGCTCCACCTAGTGACACACGTACATGCAGCCATTGACCATCAAAGTGAGCGACATCCGGGGCTCTAAATGGTCTCTCGAGGTGGTGGTGACCTGAAGTACAGCAGCGTCCTTCTGCGCCTTCTGCAGGGCTTCGTGCAGAGAGACGCGGGCGTCACCAAGCTCCTATGTTGACAAGGAGCACGTATCCTCTCTGAGTCGGGTGCGTTTGACGGGTGAGTGAGTGAGGCTCACCTTGTACAGTGACTTTGTGTCCTCCTTGAGCTTGTCATTCTCCCGCATCAGCTTAGCCTCCCTGTCCTGGTAATGCAACATGAAAGAACATCGATCCCATCATGACACCACGTGACGAACGCCATTCATGTGTTTGCTGACCTTGGCCTCCTGGATGATGCGCTGCGACTCCCTTTGCACCTCATCCATGTCCACACGAAACTCCTCCACCACCTCGGCATCCCCTGCACATGAAAGCAGGAACAAAGGAGCGAACCAATGACAGCAGTGTCCCACTGAGATATGTCATCTCGCGTGTAGGCTCACCTTGCGGAGCGAAGTCGAGGAGGGCGCAATGCATCTTGATCAGCTTGTCTTGCAGCACTCGAAGCTGAAAGACACAACCGGTAGCAAGGAAAGGCTTTGCCTCCAATCAATCAACCTTTGCTGTGTAGGCACACCTGCGTGCGAAGCAGGTGGAGCTTCTCAGAGGCGTCCCTCTCCCTCCTCGACGCATCATCCACACTCCCCTCCAGCCTCCTCACGAGGCTCCTTACCTCCTCGCCACCGTCGCGTGCAGCGTCGTCCTTTGGCAGCTGGCTGGCCGCCACCTCCGTCAGCCTTCGGTGGCCCTCTTCGCGCGCATGCTGCACCTCTTCTTCCAGCCTTTTCCGCTCGCGGATAGCCTGCGCCTCGCTGTCCTGCGCTGCCCTCGTGAGTTTCTCAGCTTCACGCGTCTTGCGTTGGGCTGTGCTGAGGTTCTTGAGGAGGGCCTCCTTCTCGGCCAGCAGGTCGCGCATCTGGTTGGACAGCATCTCCTGGAAAGGAAAAACACGCAACAGTGCGATCAGGACCTGTGAAGGTGTCGTGCGCTGTCCGGTGTACCTCTCTGGCTTGTCTGTCCTGCTGCATTTTGAACGCCTCTGCATCTCGACTCCTGTGCTCCTCAAGCACCCCTCTCTCCATGTCAAGCCGCTTCTCCTCGAATTCGACGCTCAGCCTCTCCAGCTCAACCTGCAGCCACACGGACAGGGAGGATCGTGCGGTGGCCGGTGCAGATGGCCTTGTCATTGTCCGCGCCTCTGACCTCTTTTTTGATCCGTTCCGATGTCTGTATGTCGAGGTCTTTCTGTAGCTGAGCTATTTTCAGCCCAGCCTCATCAAGCTCTGCCTCCTTCCTCGCCAAGGCAGCATCGCTCGTCTCACGAGAGCTGAAATACGTGGACATAATGGCGGCCACTGCAGGAATGGTCGAGCATCCCCTGCCCTCCTCTGAGTGCTCTTTACTTGAGGGCGTCCGTCAGCTTGTTTTGCAGAGAGGTATTTTCTCTCTCCGTCTCTTCCTTGCTGTTCATCAGATTGACCACCTCCACGCTCAGCTCCTCAGTCTGGATGGGACACACGCACATTCCAACGCACATCAGCGGCACCCCACGGATGCACCCACCCTTTTCTGTTCTTTGAGGAAGTCTTCTCTCAGGTCGACGAGAGATCGCCGTGCCGCGCCCAGCTCCATGGCGAGGTTCTTGCGCTCCGCCTCGATGGCTTCCTTCTCCTTCTGCAGACTCACTATGTTCTCCTGCTGGGCTTTGTTCTGGAGGGTGAGATCCACGACGTCTTGCTCATATGTCACCAACTTGGACGCATCCTGCAGACAGACAAGAAGGGAGGCAGCATGGGAAAGGATGGCATGACACCATGTCAGGGACCCCTACCTGGTATTTCTGCTTTGACATTTCCTCCTGCACTTTCGTGTATTCCATCTGCAGGGAGACGAGTGCCTGCACGTGACACAGGAGAGGTAGGTGCATCAATGGACGTCCATGCATACCTGGCAGACTTTGAGTTTCTCCTCTTCACATTTGATCAGATCCCTCTGTGTCATCGCGATCGACTCGACAGCGCCCTGGTGAAAAGCATATTCACGGCAATGAGAGGGCAGACTGACCACTTGCACTTGCTCACCTTGTACTTGTCCTTGGTCTCCTCCAAGCGCGTCTGCACCCACACATACACAGAGATACGCATATAGCCGTGCACAAGTCCGTCTGCACTGGGCTGGACGCCTTGCTTGTCACTCGCTCCCACCTGAAGCGTTTTCTTGTCTTCGATGGCCTTGACCTTGAGCAGTTCCTCCGCGACGACCTTGCCCTCCAGCTGGTGCAGCTGCTGACGGGCCTTCTGCTCCTCTTCGGCACCACGCTGCAGCGTCAGGGCCGCCGATAGAGCCTACTATGTATCCACATGGCGGTGGGGGGACATACATGCCGTTGTTTGCGAGTCGAGAGTGGTCCCTTTGTCACGGCTTACTTGTCTGATGTGAATGTTTTCCCTTCTGAGGTTTCTGATCCATCCGGCGAGGCGGTTGTCGTACGAGTTGGGGTGGGTGCGGAGCCGCTTCATGTCTTGCAGCACGTCCATCCCGCCCTTGCTCACCTCATACTGACAGACACGCACACACCGGCCCATGTGGCCCAGTTTCGTGAGTCTGCGTCTCTGTATCTCACCTGAGTGTGCTGCAGACACATCAGTGCAGTTGCTTGCAGACTGCCTCCCATGAGCAGATCTCGCAATATCCACGTCAGGGTGGACGAGGAGGGCGACCCTATGCGCGTGTCACTGGGGTGCTGCTGGCCGATCTTGCTTTCATGCCATGCAGATACCATCTCCCGCAGTGCGTACATGGACCTGTGGGTGTGGAAGCCCTCCCTCAGCTGCACCACATCCCTGTCCTCGGCCCAGCAGTTGCTTGCTGAAGTTTCCACTATCAGAAAGCGGCTGTACGCGCACCAGTGACCCATGCTGGAGCCCTCACTGCAGCAGGATGACACAGCATTCAATGGGAGGGAGTGGTGCGCAGTTTTGGCCTTCTTTCCTACGCACTCATCCCGTTGCTTGCTGTCCTGCATCTGGAGCAGCTCCAGCTGCAGAAACGTCAGCGTCTGGTTCTTCTGAGACTCGCTCCTCTTCTTCTGGAAACACACGCGCATGGATGGAGAGTGTATGAATACCTGATCAACGCTGCATGTCAAGCCATATGACCTGGCAGACATTGATGAGGTCGATGGCGTCCGACAGGTTTTTGACCACCATTCCACTCAGGCCATCCACGAGCACGCCATCGACACTGTCCGACGGATGAAGAGTCGCGGAGCGGTCTCCAGATAACAAGTCATGGATGTGCTCTGCCCGCAGCACACGGAAGACACATCGATCCATCGCACATCAGACCATACTCTTGCACGTCGACGTACCGTTGTATGCCTCGTAATATCTCATCTTGAGGGAGTACGAGTAGTTCCCCACCGCCCCTCCACCGCCTCCCCTTCTGTCGTTCAGCCGCTGCATGACCATCTTGAGCGAAAGTGTTATCAGGCCGCGAGGGCCATCGAGTAGAAACGACTTGCCGCTGTCGGCACTTCCCATCGTGAGCAGTAGGCTGTCAGTCCCCGCAAGAAACGCATCTGCACACACAGAAGTGCATGCATCGCCACAGAGAATATCCAAGATGGGAGACGGCTGCGTACCGACAAGGGGCGGCAGCTCCCTGGCGAAAATGTCCTCGGCCGTGGCGAGCGGCCCATAGACGAAGTCCACGTCATATCTGAGCGGCACTGCATTGAGCTTGGCGTCGGGATCGTGCAGCAGCACTTGCTCATTCTCGAAGAAGACGTCTTCACGATTTGCTGCCTCTCCAAGCGGGAGAGGTTTGATCTTTACGACACGATGAGCAGCACAACCATCTGATTCCATTCCAGACAGAGAGTTTGCACTATTCGATGAAACCCACCCCACTCCATCAGCGTTAGGGCACATCTTCATTGGCTCTCAGCCACCTCCTTTTCGTGCTCTCAGTCAACCTTTCTTTCCCCTCCCTCGTCTGCGAAATGAAGGTCCTTGCTGTCCTGGCCCTGCTCTGCTGCGGCGGCGCGCATGCGTTCGCCCCGTCAACCGGTGAGCAGATGACGCAGAGAAGCAATGACGCCGAGGTGATCATATGTGGCTCCCGGGATATCAGGTCTGTCGGGCCTCTCACGGGGCTCCCTCCGCCGGTCGTCAGCTCTGCAGATGACAGCCAATGAGGACGAGGTTCTCGGCCGGAGGGACGCCATGACGTCATCTCTCGCTGCCGCATCCCTGCTGAGCCTCTTCGCTCCCCTCGCCGCCTCAGCCAAGACTGGCGACGCACCCAAGGCCTCGTACTTCGGGTGCGCACGCAATTAGCAGAAAGATGGCACGGTCACATGTCGTCTGTGTTGGATCGGTTGGATGGGTCAGTTTTGGCGGTGGCGCGAGTACGTTGTCTGAGGGTGCGGCGTATGGAAGTGATCAGGAGGCCCCTCTGTACTCGCCCTACTCGGTGTACGGCACGGGAGAGGACAGGGTCTGGGTGCCCAACAGCAAGCAGGAGGTGCGGTGGGTGGATGGATGGATGGATGGGTGGGTGGTGACACCATCCATCGATTGATTGATCCATTTGTCAGGTTGGCCGCAAGGTGAAGAAGGTTGAGGAGTCTGCTGGCAGGATCGCCAAGGTCAAGGACTACCTCGACCAGCAGCTCTGGGAGGAGGTCCGCATGGAACTCTCGCGACAGGTACGCACGCACTCTCACGGCACGCCCGCCAGAGCAGCTACGGCGGGGCGGTACGATGGTGGTCCCTGTGTATGTCACCCAACAGACGTATGACCTTCGGGAGAACATGAACTCTCTGGCCTCTGTGAGCGGCAACCCCGATGCATCCAAGGCAGCCAAGAAGTTCTATCGCGACCTCGATAAACTCTCGGTAGGTGCCACACATGAGCATGTAGAGAAGGAGGGAGGGAGGGAGGGAGAGAGAGAGCAGATCTGAGTGACACGTTGTTTGCATGCCCGTGCATGTTGGACCCCCCTTCAGGTTGCGGCCCGCAGGAAGGAGCAGGACGCTGCTTTGGGCTTCTACAAGGATGCTGTCAACGACCTCAAGTCATTCATCAAGGTCGTCTCCAGCAAATAGACAGAATCGTGATGCATGCCATGTAAGGTTCATGCCAAGATGGGATGGAGGCATGGGCCCGGCTGGTTGTCTGTTTGGTTTGCCTGCCTGGTTCTCTCGCCTTTCAACCAAGCGCGCCAGCCACACGCGAGTGACGTGACAATGCTTTATGTGTAGAGTAAGGATGATCCGAGGCTTGAAGGCGAGAAGAAAAGTTTCGTTGCTGTCTGTCTCGTTGCATGGATTGACTCTTTGCAGTGCAGTGCAGTGCGGTGGATGTGGTGTGGTGTGGTGTCGTTTCATTTTTTCTGCGTGGTCGCTGTGCAAGCGCTCAATTCCTTCAGTCAGTCACCCCATTGCATCTCAGCCATTCAGTCAAATATGTATCTACAGGCTCTGCACAGACAGCCAGTCAGCGATGCACTCTCACAAGAAGAAAAGGCACGACACGACACTCATCCATCCATCCATCCATCCGGCCATCCACCCATCCGCTACTCGGGGACGCCAGGCCCTGCATATCACTTCTGGGCACCAGCAGGGGCTGAGGGCTGCTCGTCCACGCCAGCCTGCGTGACAAAATCCATACAAGAACACACATAAGTCTTCATGGTCATGCTTCGTACATATGGATGCATGCGCCCTTCTCTCCTGGCACTCCCTTCCCCTTCCCTCCTCTTGCCTGCTCCATGAGCTCTGAGATGCTCTTCTCGAGGTCGTCTATGCGGCTGCCCATGTCGTCGATGCGGTTTATGATGGAATCACTCATCGTCTGGAAACGCTGCTCCATCTCCTTCAACAGGCTCTTGACAAACGCCGTCAAATCGGGGGTATGCTGGTCCTCACTGGTGCCGATGGTCACGCCAGCAGCTGCTGCAGGCGACGCCATGCTGTTGGGCTTGGAGCTCTTCTGCTGGAGCTGAGCGCTCATAACAAACAAAGAATACAGCAGCAGCGGTTTCGGGAGAAGCTCAATTCGTGCTAGAGCTCTACGTCAAACGCAACGCCTGAGAGGCACAGGCAAACGCGCAAACAGATCAATGCATTTCCCCACAGCACGCTGTCCTGTTCCTCCAGAAGAGGATATTCAAGATGAGCAAGAGGAGGATGACAGATCTGCAGGCCCCTCGCTGCAGCACTCGATGCACAGGTTATCCCTCAAGATCAGGCCTCTCTCTCAAGCAAATCCCTGTCGTTCTTTTCTCTCCAACAGTTACGCCAACTTCCAGGCCAACATGGAACAGATGGAGAAGTTCTGGGAGGACATGGTGAGGGAGGGGAGTACGGGAACCGCACCAAGGGACATATGGATGATGCGTGTGTTTGTCTGGGTGTGCAGACGGCGGAAATTGACAAGATCAGTGAGTATCCGATGCCAGTACAGGGAGGGGACGTACCTCATGCGTGTGCACCATATGATTGCGTCAGGTCCAGCCGAGTTGGCCAAGCCCAACGTGCTGCCGCTTGCGCGCATCAAGCGCATCATGAAGCAAGATGAAGATGTCAAGGTAGAACAAGTGGAAACAAACAACCCATCACTGGGCAAGATGATGCTCGTTTCCTGTGAACGTTTCGCGTAGATGATTGCTGCCGAGACGCCGAATGTATTTTCGAAGGCGTGTGAGCTCTTCATCTTGGACCTCACTGCGCGAGCGTGGATACACACCGAGGAGAACAAAAGGAGGACCCTGCAGGTAAACGATGCACAGGATCATGGCCGACAGGGTCGCCAGGTGCATCATATCTGTGTGCGTCACTGTATGTGGTCAGCGCAACGACATATCGTCTGCGATCAACAGGTCCGACATGTTTGACTTCCTCATCGACATCGTGCCAAGAGACGAGGGGCGGCCGTGGGGACAGGTGAGTGAGTGATGCGATGCAGACAGGCGCAAGCCATCGATGCGCCGACTCATACCGGTGTTGCCTGGTTTGTCATTTGCAGCTCGATGACGGTCCGTATTATTTCCTACCCTCTCAGCAGAACCCGCCACCGCTCCCATGGTACACATGCTACACAATAGCATCTCCGTGTCATCACCCGCGTGCATGTGTGGTTGTTTGCGATGCGTATTCATCATCTATTCTATTATATCTCCTTCAGGGTGCCGGGTGGTCCAGCACCTTCATCTGCCGCAGGCTCTATGCAGGAGGGGCACTGCCCGCCAGCGGCTCCCGCTGCCGACGCGGCCAGCAGTGCTGCAGGTGGTCCGTCCGTCGCTGCATCATCGGCAGCCCCCCCGCCGCCGCTGATATTCTTCGCGCAGCCCTAGTTTCTTTGCTGTTGCGGCCTTCATCGTATACTTCGCGAGGATTGTCTTCGTGTGTCGTAACATGTGACGGGACGACATATGTATGGCCATGGGATAAGCAAAAACCTCACGTCTGAGCTCCCGCAATTCCGAGATACGTTAGGTCAACACATCTGACATGTACATGACCGGACATGCACCTGTCGCCACAAATATACCTCCGACGATGCCAGACTATGGGAAAAAAGCAGGAGACGCTTCTGTGACTCGGAGGGGAGGGGGCGATGGATGACAGAGTGCTGCGGTGGAATGGGTGGCTCTGTTTCGGACCAGTGTGCGAAGTGTTCTTGTGCGTGGGGACCAACGTTTCCACACTCCAGTACTCGACTGGGGCTCTGCTTGACGAGACTGTGTTGTGTTGATGAGATTTATTTCTGCAATTCCATTTCACGTGCGATCTCGGTGATGTTTTTTTTCTCTTTACACAAAGCAGACGAGCCCGGACAAAGTGTACCAGGCTGTCCTCCGTCGTCTGAAGGAGAACTTGGTGCCCTGTCCATTCCCTGCAAAATTCTTTTCAGGACATGGGTCGTATCTGACCACCCGTGGCTTCAGGACTCCGATCTGTGCAGAATGCGACAAATTGTTTGCACTCACGCATCTACTTGAATACTCTGGAGCGCTGTATTTGCTTTGCATGATTGTGTTTTCTTCCATTACAATCCTTGCTGTTGTCGAACGATCGAATTTGCGGGAATTCGCGAGAAGGTGCGCCACCTTCGTTGTATTTCTATTTCCGATTTTTTAAAATTTCTCCTTGATTTTTTGAGGGGTCTCAGATGTCTTGAAAGAGGAGATTGGGGGGTGTGAGGGGCGAAGCCCTCCGGGTTTTCGCCCGTGGAAAATTCCTATTTTTGGTGCTGGAAACTGGAAATCGCGCTCGGCACATCACCGGAAAAATCGAGAAAAATTGCTGATTGATTGGTTGATTCAGCCTTGGATGCGGACCCTTGAACCCCCTGGCTAGTCACCGCGGCCCAATGGAAGCCCGGGGTCGGGGGTCGGCTTTTTGGTGCCCTGCAGTGAGCTCTTTGGCGCCTCGCTCAAGCATAGGGAGAGCAGGCATGTATCGTATATTGACTGGTCCGTCTCTCAACTCGTTCGCTCATCGTCCTTCTCATCTGTCTCTTCTCTGTCGTCTAATGAACGCAAGCAAGCTGTACCAACGAACCTAAACACCCTCAGAACTCCCCACCAACCACACACACACACACACACACACAGACAGGGAGAGACAGACACGCAGACGCAGACGCACACACGAAAATTTGCACTCTCTCCCCGGTCTCGCCGTTTCAGAGCCGGGCAGCCGAGATGTGTTCACGCACTCAGCGCCCCTTCTGTTTTACGCCGAACGCGGGCTCTATCTCCCTCTGTCGGCATCCGGCAATGAAAGGAGGGAAGAATGGCGGCGTTAAATTCATCGGTTGAATTGAAATCGATTCCTCTCAGATCTACCACTGCGGTGGTGCTCCTGTTCGTGACGGCGGCCCTTCAGACGAGTAGCCGGCAAGTGTCCTCGTTCTCCAGCCCTCTCTCCCTTCCCAACCACCTCTTCAGGCCGTCGGGTGCGATGCAATCTCATCGGCACAGCTACACGGTACGCGGCGTGCGCGATAGAGCCAGTAGCCGCCTCTCGTCCTATCCTGTGCCCGTCCTCTGCTCTTTCTCCCTGTCCACTGATGTGCAGACCTCTCGAGGTCTTGGAGAAGGGTCTGCTGGCTTTCCCAAGGGCGATGAGACTGAGCCACCGACGACGCTTTGCCCTTTCAGCTACCAGCAAAAGATCATCAGGACTTTCGAAGAAACACCAGACTCTGGAGGCATGATCGACTATTTTGTTGAGGCCGGGTACGAACCAGACCTCCAATCACGGGATCTGCGCATCGATGATCGATGGACACTGATTGATTGGTGTTTTTGCACTTGCAGGTACGAGCCAGTCATCCCCGGGGGGCTGAGCAGTCCATCTAAGACTCGTCGACTCCATGGGGTGGCTCTCCCTGAGGAGGAGTGGGCTGATCTTCCTGTGGCAATGGAGGGCAACTACACCTGTTGGAGGAAGCTCCTCAATGAATCGCTCATCCCTACTGGGCATGTGGTCAAGGAGCCACCCGAGGAGGGCGACCACTTTATCATCCTCTTTGGCCGCTGGATCCATACTGCTTGCGGCTTCGTCCCTCCGATGCTTGAGGAGCTGTGGACCGACGGAGTGCTCAAGGGAGGGGTGGACCAGATGAAGCAGCTTGGTGGCGTTCTACAGAGAGGAGACGACGGTCAAAAAGATGTCATTTACGTCTTCCTGGTCGATGGTCCGAAGTGCTGGTTTGACATGTGGGCCGCAGGCCCCGGCAGCACTGCTTCCAAGCAGATCCTCGACTATCTGGCTGGAGAGGGAGTCAGCATGTTCCACGGGCACCTGGAGTCACAGATCTTGGAGAGAGAGGATGGCACTGTCAGACATTATGACAAATGGATCATCATAAAAAGAGAGCTGGAGCAGGTGCGGGAGGAGAACGAGCGCCTGAGGATGGAGCTGGCAAATGGCGGGGTCGGGGAGGAGATGGTCACTGGATGAATGAAGTCTCCTTCTGATCGATGATGGCTGATGTGCTCCGAGGTGGGCTGCTGACACATGCGGCGGATTCTCTGCCTCTATCCTGTCACCTCAAGTGGCCTATCCGCCTCAGCCGAGAGCAGTCGTTGTTGGCCTCGCTCATGACGCTCCAACTCATCAATGCTGGCAACTCAGTCAGCCATGAGAACACAGATCTGCCTGAGAGAGGGACGGACGGAGACGGGAATGGATGGGGCAGCCGAAAAGAAGGCCAAGATCGCTTGCTTGCAGGAAAGCGGGAGCAGAAGAGGTGGTGATTCATTGGGGAAAAAAAAGAGAGAAAAAAGAAAAAAGAGACAAAAAGGGGAAAAAAAAGAGAAAAAGAGAAAAAAAGGAGACAAGATTGTGAGGCCGAGTTGGGCCGCCTTCGGCGGCCGTGCGTTCATCATTGGACGTTTGACCGGTTTATGCGCAAATGGAAAGATTGGTCCCTGATACACGGTCCTGTGTCAGAGGCTGCGTGTGAGTTGGAGTAGATCCCGTGTATGGCACTGCATGCTGAGACCCTGAGCACTCTGAACTCTGCCTCCTTCTCCTGAACCGTACTTGTGTTTTTCGCCAACTACGCTCTATTCCCCCAAGTGTTTGGCCCACAGGAAAAAAGAGAATTGAACTGAATGTCGACGGAATCCGCCCTCAGATCTATCACTGCCACGGTGGTGCTCCTGTTCGTGACAGCACAGGACCGGCGGCTGTCCTCGTTCTCCAGCCCTCTCGCCCTTCCCAACCACCTGTACTACAGGCGGGTGCGTGGCGTCCGTTAAAGCAGAGTCACTCCATGAATCGTCCTCCCATCCTATCGTGTTCCTGTGCTCCCCGTGCTCTTTTATCCCTTCCCTGAATGTGTAGGACCCTCGACATCTGGGAGGAGACGACTTCCCATCGCTCAAGCTCCTCACCTACCACCAGAAGCTGTACAAATGCTTTGGGGATGTCAAGTTCGTCATGGGACAGATCCGCTGTGCCCTTCATGCGGGTTACCTTCCCGCCTTCCCTGACGGCCTCACACCTCCGTCTGGACTCCACCGATTGAATGGGCTATTCCAAGGCGAAAGAGACTGGCTGTACCTTCCCGTGGCTCTCGAAGGTAACCACTCTGCCTGGCGACTGCTTGCGGATGGGTGCTTTGTGGAGAACTACCTACTGCACGAGCCCAAAGAAGACGGCAAGCACATTCTTGTCATCTTCGGACCAGCGACTGAGGCGAGGTTTGGGCTGAGCTTTCGGGAGCTCGAACTGTTGTGGAAAGGCCGACGGTTCGAAGACTGCGTCGAGCAGATGAAGGAGCTCGGGCAGCTGTTTTTGGCAGACAACAAGGAGGTGATTTATGTCATCCTGGTGGACGGCGTCCTGGACTGGGTCGAGAAGTGGATGGAAGAGGAAGCCGAAGGCGCAGAGGCCAGCCACGTGTTCAAGTACCTGAAGGAACAGGGGATCAACATCCTATTCGGCGGTGGGGGTCGAGCACTTTATCCCATACCTCACTCAGGATATATAAGGAGCTGTATGAGGATGAGCAGAAGGAGCTTGAGCAGGCGCGGGAGGAGAACGAGCGCCTGAAGATGGAGCTGGCAAAGGGCGGGGTCGGGGAGGAGATGGTCACTGGATGGATGAAGCCTCCTTCTGATCGGTAATGGCTGATGTGCTCCGAGGTGGGCTGGTGATACATGCGGTGGATTCTCGGCTGATAGATCTGAGGGCGGATTCTCTGAGGGGGCCATCCAAGCCTTTACCATCAGGTGTACATGTTCGACAAACCTCTGGCGATTTGCACAGAGAGCTACGACCGGGCCGCAAATTTGTAAGCGACGAATGGCATGGTTCTACTGCGTGGCCTACCTCCCTGCAGTGTCCCTGCCTGCCTGCCTGCAGGCCTGCATATGTGTCGTAGGATTTTTTCCTTCGGCAAGCCTCTGTCCGCTCATGGCGTAACGACAAATGCTGCGGGCCGGGCGATATTCCCATTCCCCACGATGACCTACACGGCTTCATCTCTTGGTCTTGTTCCTCTTCTGCCGTGTGCATTCAAATCTATGTGCATCTGTCATGATCGTTTTGCACACGGACACTCACAGGAGTCGTCAAGTCTTCCTGGGAGGGTTTGCATTGCCCCTCACCATCATTCATTTTTTCCTCGGCTTAGTAATCGCCTGTGCGTGGCTTGCATCCGCGTGACGCACTCCCTTTATCATTGTGCATGTTACGTACGATTGTTGCAGTAGTGCCTCTTGTAACCGCACCCATTCGACATGTAGGCTTGGTATCGCGGATCCTCTGGTTGAGATTCATTCAGTTGTACTCATTACAACGTTTGGGTTGTCGGAAGCCTATTCACAGAGCAGCCTTGTATGGACACACGTACCACGTGGGAGAGGGGGTGAGGGAAGGGGCCTGGCAAGACGCCAGAAGTGTTACGAGGTGGCATTTTGAGCCGAAGAAGAGACTGAATGCAAGCACCATCTGTTCCCGTCTCCGGCTCATTCTCAGTGAAGTTCTCAGGAGAATGACGCTTCGCTAATGAAAGGAGGGAGCTGTTCTAGCAGCACCGACCTCATCCGGCATCGGACTCACATAAATCCGGCCGAGAGCTACCAGGATGACCTGTGGGCGCCTGTGTGTGTGGCTGTGGCAGCCGCGCGAACGAGACGTCGGAGCCGAATTTGTAGTGTGGTGACGGTGCAAGGAACGACATGAGTTTTATGGATGGGTTGCATGATCAGTGTAGTGTATGTATTGCAGTGAGGGGTAGACAGGAAGCAGACGATGCATGGAAACAAAGGGAAGTTGGGCGCATGCAGACAGGCATGGTTCTGAGAAGCACACGAGGAATGGATGGCAAGACGGAGGACAAGGCTGACACGAGAGGCCAGAGGCCGAAGGAGACACCCATGAACCCCGGCACCTTGTGCAGCATGCAGAAGCCCCCTGCATGACGCAAAGTGGACAAGGCACTTTTATCCTGCGCACGCACGAATGTGACGGCCATACGCACGAGAAGCGGCTTTCTTGGCCCACCAAAAATTCCACGTTCGCGGAGCCGAAATAATGGTGCATTGACTATGCGTTATTGCTCGCTTGAGCATGCAGTGCCAAAATTCGTTGACGGCTTGAGCGAGGTCGATCACTGGTGACAACCTGTCTTCTAGCCATATCGTTGAGCCTGCTTCTTCCCGACAATGACAAAATTCGAAAAACTCTGCGGGTTAACGTTGACTTTGACAGATTTTTCGAATTCGTTTTCTTTGCATTGACATAAATGTGCATTCTCCGCCACCTTGTGTGGCAGCGTTCAATGAAATATACGTGTACGGCCTCCAGTGCGCGTATACAAGCCATTACAGCCCCAAAGAAGAGAAAGTCTGACGTCGTCTCTCATTGCGTCCAGGAAACTCAGGTGCGCATCAAGCTTACGCACTGACTTCATGGTGCGGGAACCTCAAGCGAGGACACATGCACGAGCGACTCATCACTGACAGACAGTCGCACCAAGCAAGCGACAGACACACAGGTCGGGACAGGACGCCGACCAACAAACCACCAACCAACCAAGAAAGGAGCTCTTCTACAGAAGTTTCTTCCGCACACGGATTAGCCCTTGATTTTATGTATAGTGCACGTTGCGTCATGCGTGAATGCATCTTCCCCCATGAGGGCTCCTTCTCTCGCCAGAGTCTACAGAGATCGGGAGACATGAATTGATGCAGATGCCCATATGGATGTATCGGTAGCTTTGTGATGGCTTCGACCCGCGTGTGCGCAGTTTATAGTGCCCTGATAGGGTCGTGATGGATGTACACTTGGCAGTTCTCTCAGTAGCCGACGGAATGCTGCATTCATAGACCACCACAACCGTTCAATGACACGAAGCACAAGATGCATTGCAATCTGACTCACATAGCACACGGATGTATACGTACTGATGCTCCTACAACGTGAGGCACACAATCGCGTGCCCATTAGCCAAGAATCCACCACATGTTTCACCAGCCCGCCTCGGAGCACATCAGCCATCATCGATCAGAAGGAGACTTCATTCATCCCGTGACCATCTCCTCCCCGACCCCGCCATTTGACAGCTCCATCTTCAGGCGCTCGTTCTCCTCCCGCGCCTGCTCAAGCTCCTTCTGCTCATCCTCATACAGCCCCCTATATATCCCGACTGAGACAAGGGACAAAGTGCTCCACCCCCACCGCCCGAATAGGATGTTGATCCCCTGTTCCTTCAGGTACTTGAAGACGTGCCTGGCCTCTGCGCCTTCGGCTTCGTGCTTCGTCCACTTCTCGACCCAGTCCGGCCCGCCGTCCAACAGGATGACATAAATCACCTCCTTGCTGTCTGCCAAAAACAGCTGTCCGAGCTCCTTCATCTGCTCGACGCACATTTGGAAGGTTCCATACTTCCACAGGTTTTCGAGCTGACGGACCATCGGCCCGAACCTCTCCTCAATCGTCAGTCCGAAGACTATAAGAATGTGCTTGCCGTCTTCTTTGGGCTCGTGCAGTAGGTAGTTCTCCATAAATACGAATCCGCAAGTAGTCGCCAGGCAGAGTGATTACCTTCGAGAGCCACGGGAAGGTACAGCCAGTCTCTTTCGCCTTGGAATAGCCCATTCAATCGGTGGACTCCAGACGGAGGTGTGAGGCCGTCAGTGAAGGCGGGAAGGTAACCCGCGAGAAGGGCACAGCGGATCTGTCCATCCCTGAGCTCTGGATCGGCAAAGCACTTGTAAAGCTTCTGCTGGTAGGTGAGAAGCTTGAGCGATGGGAAATCGTCCCCTCCCAGACCTCTCAAGACCTGCACATCAGTAGACAGGGAAAAAAGAGCAGAGGACGGGCACAGGATAGGACGAGAGGCGGCTACTGGCTCTATCGCGCACGCCGCGTACCGTGTAGCTGTGCCGATGAGATTGCATCGCACCCGACGGCCTGTGGAGGTTGTTGGGAAGGGAGAGAGGGCTGGAGAACGAGGACACTCGTCGGCTGCTGGTCTGAAGGGCCGCCGTCACGAACAGGACCGCCACTTGAAACGGTGATCTGACGGGTTTGCTCATGCGTCATGAATCCTCTCTTCAGCTTCAAGGTTGTGTTTTACGTCAGTCGTAAAACACAAATTAATGGAGAGTGTGTCTCGCTGCGGGTTTCGGCTTTCCGACACCGAATACATTCTTGTTTCTTCTCAGTGCATAGCGGCGGAATGGCGGGCCTTTCTGTCCATTTCTTTCTGCCATGTATCTACAATAGGCCTCCGGACCGTATGTACGACACCACATCACTCAGTAGATGTGTCTTTGAGGCGTCTTTGTGGTCGCTTTGCTGGCTCTTTGACTTAATGATGTGTGTTGCTGGGTCGCGGGCGAGGGAAATGGGGAGGGGTCGCGGGGCGATGACACAGCGTATGGGAGGGGGTTGACGCAGTGGGCGGCAAAGTTTGGCGCGGCTGTTTTGTCGCAGTCCGCGTGATTGCTCAAATGCACTCACACCCACCACTGCTCTTCTCAGCAGAGCACAATAATGGGATGCGGGCATATGTAAGTGACTGCATGACGCTGCGAACTTGGGAAGGAGGGAAGGTCAAAAAGGGCCGATCTCTTCAATTAGCTACCTAAGCAGGAGGGATAAACACGTCTGTCAAACACTTCTACACGTGCATTCAAGCCATCAAGCACCGAATATGCAGAAAACCCAATGTGCGCGTTTGGATGTGGCTCAACTTTCATCAAAGGCTGCTCAGACGATGCGCGCGCTTTCCCCTCATCTTCACTTTGTTGCAGGCGAAAGGCAGCAGCGGCAACCAAAGCAGAATGGCCTTAGGCTTTTGTGCGCCGGCTGCGTCACGCTCCTTGCGATGCGTGCTCGATGATCGATTGGGAGGCATGAGACATGATTACATTCATATCACGCATTGGATGTATTATGCAGTACTGGCACAGTACTAGGCAGTCGTAACTGCAAGTTCAAAAACACCAATCAGTGTGCATCGTCGATCCAGATCCCCACTATCAATGAAGCGTACGTATCGTCGCTCGGCGAGACACACAAATACATAGCATGAGCTAGCGGAGAGATTCGAGCACTAACTAGCCAGGCCTGCACTAGAAAGAAATGGATACATACACACACACTCACACGACAAATACAGATGGATAGGAGATCCATGGATGGATGGATTGCATCATGTACATACAATGTGTGCAGGCCAGGCAGCCATCCAAGTGGCCACGAATGACATGCACGCACATCAATTGGTCAATCAGTCAGACGTGTGTACGTACGTACATCAGCCAACACAAAGGCCGGCCCCCTGACGGCCAACCGACCTGATTCTTTGATCGGCACAGAGCAGTGCAAGCATCGCTCCCTCCCCACAGCACACAGGTACAAATGTTGACGTACATAAATACCTACTATAGGTAGATACCATCTAATCTCCAAGGCCTCATACGATGCTACCAGCCAAGACCCCTTCCCCCATTCTCTCTTGGCTGGTAGCATCGTATGAGGCCTTGGATGGTCTTGCCTGCCGATGCGACAAAGCAGCAGCCTCGCGCCGCGCACTCGTCGGCTGTGATGCTCAGGCGCTCAGGAGCGCAGTCCACCTTCCTGCCTCCCATCAAATTGCACCTTGGTGCTGCCTGGGCCTGGGCCTCTGGCAAGCCGGGAGGGCGGATGAAAGCCTTGACCCTCTTTTTGCCTTTGCCAAGAGCACCACCTCTGAATCACAGACGCATGACAGACAAACGGCATCTCGGTTGAGTCCCTCCCTCTGCGAGTCAGTCAGTCAGACGATCCTCAATTCACCCACCCGCATGCAGGGGACTTGACGACGTCAGACGGCCGCATCTCTGTGCCGTTCTTGCCTATTGGTACCTGCACAACACATTGGGGAGTGGACGGACACGCGGAGCGCAGATCGAGCTGCTTCCTGTCTGTCTCGCCTCGGTCGGCTTGCTCACCACTTGATAATAAAGGCACTGTCTCACGCCTTCGTTGACCTCTATCCAGTGCTCGAACTGCGTCTTCGCCATCTCAATGAGGAAATCGCTTGGCTCGTCCGTCGGCCCCTCCAGCACCCGCCACTGCATACATACATACGCGCATTCACACGAAAAAACAACGAGACCGGTGCTTGTGACGGCACCTACCTTGGCCACTTCCGTAGCACCATTCCACGAGAAGTGAAGGCTGCACACACACGAGACAAAGGACGAACACCGCTGACCACTATGAGTGCGAGATCAAGGCTGCAGATAGGTGGCTCAGCGAACCGGAGCGAGCGATATTTGTTGTTGACATCGAAGAGCACTGTGGGCTTATATGGTGGAAGGCCCACCCTGACAAGGTGTCGCCACATACACACCGACAGCACCCATCCATCCATAAGTGCATAGCTCCCGTGCGCTCGTTTTCCTTGCCGACCATGGCGCCTTGATCACGCGGTAGGAGTGCGTTTCCCTCGCCCACCGCATCATGACCAGTGTGTTGTTCCCTTCGTCCGTCTCGAGATAGAATGGGTTGCCGCGCCGGCCATGCTTGTCCGCGGTCAGCCGCATGCCCAGGCACATCACACGGTTGCCTGCCATCAGATGCCATGATCAGATGCCCACAGGGACCATAGGTACGTGTGTGAGTGACGGAACGCACCGTTGGGCATTCGGCGGTAGCTGCCTTTGGCGAAGGCAGAGACGCCCGTGTTGAAGACGGAGACTTGTCGAGCAATCGCGGGGCTGTCATCCTCCCACTCAAGGGCGTAATCCACCGCTCGTGCAGTGCGGCTGCCCGTCCTGACGCTGTTGTCGAACATCGTGAGCAGCCCCTGTTTGGTGATCCGCGCATCGTGCTGCCCCGAGAACACGCCATTGGGGTCGTCTTTGATCTTGAAGCTGCTCAGCTCGGGCCGTCGACCACCCAGACGCCATTCCACCCGACCTGTGTTCCTGGAGGGAGGCACACAAGGGAGGCAGAGAGTATGACGGAGTCGCGCATGCTGACGGGCCATCCATCCATCAATCGATCAAGACCGACCTGTTGATCTTGGCCACCTGCTGCAGCCCACGGAGGGAAACGATTATATTGCCCTCAGGCGACTCGTCGAGGGAGTTTGCTGACGGAAGACCAGAAATACACAATGAGTGTACGGTATGTACCTTGACACGAATGGGCGTATGCACGTACCGTGTGTCAAGTCCCAAACGTTGTGCTCGACGCTCATGTTGGTTTCCCAATAGACCCGCGGCAGATGGTCCCAGCTGCGCCACTCAAACATGACCTCGCCAGTGGTCAGGACCTCCTGGATGCACAGCCCCGCCACCCATGTGCTCGTGGACGCGCCCCAGACGTCAGCCCGTATCTTCTTGGAGTTCATCAGTTGCGGATCATAGCTGCACTCACAGCCACACAGTCGGCAGGTATGGGCAACAAGCGACGAACGCAAGACGGTCTCCTTTCTGCTCTCACATGATCAGTAGGGCGGTCCCCGACTTGGTCACTCGCAGCTCGTGGTGATTGAGAACTGAAGGGCGACAGCACCCCATCATAGCATTCAGCCCCTCCATGTGTGCCTCCCTCTCCCACATGATACCCTTCTTCCACTCACCATGTCCGTGTCCCGCCTCGTAGCCGCCAGTCAACCTGTAGTCGGGTCCAGCCTTCTTGATCTTGTATCCAGACGAACGCAAGATGACCTCCCCATTGTGGGTCGGCGCAAACGACGCCAGTGTGCCTTTCTCGTAGTAGACGGGGTCTCCTCTGTCGGTCATGATGACCTGCATGGTCTTGTAGGGCTTCGAGTGGCTGATCTCGGTGGTGAACAAATACCCACTAGAGAGCTTCGAGGTGTCGCCGACACGGGTCAGGATGGCCCTGGGGTATGTAGAGGGCAGCGTGCGGTAGGCCGAATTGGGAACGATGCGGGACCTGCCCCTATCCTCTACCTCCAACAAGTACTCCGTCCGCAGTGCGGTGGCCGCCCTGTCAGTGGCATTAGCCGAGACGGAAGGGAGCCCCAGCAGCCAGTCGTTGTCGCGCATCATCTTGAGCAGCTTCAGATTCTCTGGCGATGAGAAGCCCGCGCCGTTTCCATCCGTAGACAGCTTGATGAAGCCCTTGTTCCGATAGGTGTCGATCTTGCGCCAGGAGACGGAGAAGCTCCACTGTGCCGCAGGAAGCACCTTCCCCACCCTGGTCCTGATGCCGCTCCGCACATCAACGAACACTCTCTCGCCAGGAAAGAAGTCTCTGTCGGGCTTGAACCATATCGTCCTGTTGTCTGGAAGCAGCCGAGTTTGCCCCTGTGACCGATCACCAGACTGCTCCCCACGCACCTTGATCTTGCCCTTGACGCTCCAGGGAGCCACCCAGCCTGCCGGCCTCAGGGCGATTGACGTGTACGGCGAAACCAGCAGGGCGTTCGGCAGCGGGTGAGCGTAGCGAAAGGGCGTCGTTTCCCAGAGTTCCCTGAGGGCTGTGGCAGTGCCGTTGGTGCGTAGCCTCCCCCCTTTGCCGCTCCTCAGGCTCGTCACCGCCCCGGCGTGGTTTTTCAGGTAGTTCAGCACCTGATCGGCGTTCCGGTTCGCCACCTCTGCGTCAGTGATCCCAGAGGCACAGCAGAAGAGGCACAGGAGCGCAGAAAGATGAAGGAGAGGTGCGGCTGCGTGGTCGTCCTTCGCCATCGTTTGCCCTCTGCCCACTGTCGGTCACTGCGACTGGCGGCGGAAGTCTGCCACACAGAGAGAACGTTCGTTTGCTGCCGCTGCTGACAACGGTTCAGAAATAGTGGGACAATTGCATTCTCTTATTATTATAGCTGCAATATGCGAGGACAAGTCCACCGATTGGTTGCTTCCAGGCTGTGTTGTGCGTGACGGTGGATGATGTGTGGGGGCAGAGAGGCCAATGGTTTTTTCAGCCGCCTGGTCGAAAAGCTGCGCACCAAGGCTGCGTGGGCAGACAAGTCGTACAGCCAGGTGATGGGGTGGGTTCGTGCTCGTCTGTCTGTTGCGTTGGCGCGTAGTGCGAGTATGTGTGTGCGTGGTTGGCGGCGTCGCTGCAAGAAACTTGCATTGGAGCGTGCCGCTCGTTTGTTCAGCGTTTAATGGCTTTGAAAGCACATGTAGAGTGTTTGATCCAACACACGTTTTTATCCCTCCCGCTTAGATAGCTAATTGAAGAGATCGGCCCTTTTTGACCTTCCATTCTTCCCAACTTCGCAGCGTCATGCAGTCCCTTACATATGCCCGCATCCCATTATGTGCTCTGCTGAGGAGAGCAGTGGTGGGTGTGAGTGCATTTGAGCAGTCAGTGAGGCGGACGGCGGACTGTGACAAAACAGCCGCGTCAAACTTTGCCGCCCACTGCGTCAACCCCCTCCCATACACTGTGTCATCGCCCCGCGACCCCTACCCCTTGTTCCCCTCGCCCGCGACGCAGCAACACACATCATTAAGTCAAAGAGCCAGCAAAGCGACCTCAAAGACGCCTCAAACACACATCTACAGAGTGATGTGGTGTCGTACATACAGTCCAGTAGGCCGCACTATAGATACATGGCAAAAATGGACAGAAGCCCCGCTATTCCGCCTTCATGCACTGAGAAGAAACAAGAATGAATTCGGTGCTGGAAAACCCGAAACCCGCAGCGAGAGAGACACACTGTCCATTGGCAGGTCTCAGGAAAACCTCGCTCGGGCGTCAGAGACATGCAAGAACACAAGATGAATATGCGTGTCCCATCCCATATGAATCTCGCTTGTTGTGCCGCCTCATCGCTCGGCGCCCCCACCATCAACCGGGACAGTAGGGACATCCACGGGTGTGATTTCGAAGGGGACGGTGCACGCCCCGTCGAAGAGCAGAACCACCACTTCCTGCATGCGCCACACATCCGCGCCCACACATGACATACACACATGACCTAAGTGGAGGAGGAAGGGCTGCGTGTGCATCCGTACCGCCATGGCGTCTTCGCCGTCAGCTGCCGTGACGAACACTTCCAGTTTGCTTCCAGCATCGGTCGGCACGATCAGCGCATCTTCGTACACGGCGTCGGCCTCTCCGGACGGATTCTCAGACAAGCTAAAGGGCTCGCTGCGGAGGCACACCAACACATGCAGAGACATATGCCCTCCCTCATTGTCTTTCGTACTCATCTACGGCCGCGATGAGGTTGGCGTTGCCTTGGACTGAATTGGCCGCGACCACCACTTGGGGGAAGCCGCTCGCGAGAGCGAAGGGGAGGTCCACCAGCAGAGATTGATCAGTGCCATTCTGACGGAAAATTAATAGAGCAGAATTCCGGCAACACGCAGAAGAGATGATGTCTGCCTCTCTCACCCACCTGTACAATGTTGGCGGTGGGGTTGCCCGTGGCGTTGTTTGGTTCGCTGTCCTCTAGAAGCGCAGTTAGAAGGGGGCAACCGAACAGGCCCTCCACCTCCCGGCGAGCAGATGCTGCTACATCGCGAAACATGTGACGAAGGCATAGAAGGATGATTCGTACGTCCAGTCGTGGACTGTGCGGCCATCAAGTTGACTCACCTTTCGGCTTCTTCATGTTGAGCTTTGTCGAGAGTGCCTGACGTCACGTGGAACACACGAGTGACGCAGCGCTTCCATTGTCCATTTGCGTGGCGTGTCTGTCCGTGTCGTACCTTGGTCTTGGCGGGCCGCGACTGGATCATGGCGAGTGGCTCGCCCTCCAGGGATGGCGGGACGTCCAGAGTGGGCACGAATAGAGCGATGGACGCGCAGACGCCTGCATACGCAACGACAAACAGCGCTACGATCACAGTTACACATCCTGCCCACCTGTGATCGTCTCGCCGGGCTTGAGCTGAGGCTCACAAAACCCCGTGTGCTCAAAGACCAGAAGATCCTAGACGAGCAACAACAGCCACGCATCGACGACAAGATGGGATGCATTTGTGTCTTAGTTACGAATTGGCACGTCTTGGCCAGGCAGATCACGACAACTATCACCCCGTCTTGGCCCCCGAAATCG